CGTCATGCTGTAAGTTTGGTCACGTTCTTGGGCAATATTTCAGCCGAAAAATGTGAACTGATCCTGGGCAGAGAAAGTATCAAGGGCTCAAGAAAATGACCCCAGCCTCCGCATTTCCAGCACGTACGTAAATAACAAAACACGCCTGCCGAGATATTATTATTAAGTAGTCAACCACAAACCAGAGGCAGTAGCTCATGTCGTCACGTTGAGGTTCGAATCCTATGTATTTAGCTCTCCATCCATCGGGGACGCTGTAAAACAAAGGAGGTACCGAAATAGCAGTCCCTGAACCTGACCTGCCTCTTATTCCTTCATAATCACCACCCTCGTCGTCGTCACATGCCACACGTTAATGTTGATCAGGATGGATGATGTCCGGCGAGTCAACTTCTCCGCGTCGCCATCCTTCAATTGAACACCATTAGCAGAAAATGTAAATAATGTTGCGTGACAGTTGGTTATGGCGAAACCTTAGCTACCGCAACATCAAGCTCTGCAACCATTCTGCTGACTACGAAGACAACGTTGCTGGATAGCATGGGAGATCGGCCAACAACTCCATTAGAGTAATGAAGGAGTACCTACTGTGAAAAACTCTTGGTTTTCTTATCGCCTCCTATTTTCGACGGGATTGAGCAGTTGAGCTCATTACCGTTAAAGTGTGTTGTGGTTGTTATTGGAGCAAGTGAGTAAATAGTCGTGAATTGGTCCATGCCCTTCTGTCGATTTCATGGTTCTCGCAGACCAAACCAACCCATGCTTACTTTTCGTAGTAGCGGCAGAAGGAAAGCAAAGACGAAAGTCTAGCAAACCGCTAATAGGAGAACGCGAGTGGCTTTGTTGCAGTGGGACTACGTACTTGCTAAATGAAGGTCGTCTGCTGCTGAAATAAATATCTGTATTTCCCATTCGTCGTCTCGGCGATAAATCTGGAGCATGTACAAAGTCGTCATCATCATCATTGAAACTACTTCCAAATGTCTTTCTCAAAGATTATTTAGGTGAAAGGTCTCCATCCAAAATATTTTCTGGGGCAATAGTGGTTCAGAAAGTTGCCAAGATTCTTTATCTATTTCTGGGCAGTTTTGTATTTGTCTGCCATGCACCTATATCTTCACCTCCTTCTTAATGACAACCATCCCATATTTTCAGGGTTACAGAACCATCATCACAAGTTTGAGGGGTGGTGCTGTTGTCACCATTACAAAAAGGCATTACTCTCCTTAAAACACGCAGGTATTGGGGGAGGTGATGACGATTATATGAAATCAAGGAAGAAAAGTATATTTCAGGCAGAAATATCAATCACAAATCTTGTCAAGTGATGAAATGAAAGCTTTTGAAATGAATGATGAGGGAGAAAGTTGAGATGAAAAGGAGAACTTTAGGAAGGAGAGCTGTACGTACGTAGGACGAGGAGCAATAGTAAAGAGACGCCCGAGAAAACCAACTATGCGACAACATGCATACATATGTACTTAAGTACATACCCTCCCTCAAGAATTTGAGACATTTCACTTCTTATTGGCCTGACTCGAGGGGTGTAGCTTTGTTAAAATGCTGTGAAATATTGTGTCAGTGGTGGTGTTATCTCTGCTCGATCTTTGCCCTCATCTTCTCGTGGGTTGGGTGATGGTCAATTCTTGAATGCATTTTGAGAGAAAAAGGCAGCAACTTTCTCTCTCTGTCTCTTCAAATGCTACTGCTGCACATTATTTTATTCCGTCTTCTCGGTCGTCCTGTTCTAACCACAAGTCATCCCAGTCGAGTTCTAAGCAACGCATTTAGGAGGAGAGTACGCCAACCTGATAATGACAGATCTTGATGTCCTTTGGATATATGGTAGTACCCCCTCTGAAAGTAAAAAGTGTGAAGCGGTTTGATGCCATGGCCCAATTTACGCCCGTCACACCCCTTTGAAGGCGCGCCCGATGCCAAACTAACTGCACTAAAAAATTCGCCAAAAATCCAATTTTGTTCGGATTTTCATAATAGTTACATATTTATGATCCCAGATAGTCCCTTTATCATATTCAGTTGTAAAATTAACTTTTCAGAAATTTTCAATATTTTCGAATATTTCCTGAAAAGGGCATGGCTTGAAAAAATTCAAAATTCCAAAAAAGTTCAGATTGATATCAGATATGATAAAGCAACTATTTGGGATCATAAATATGTAACTATTATGAAAATCCGAACAAAATTGGATTTTTGGCGAATTTTTTAGTGCAGTTAGTTTGGCATCGGGCGCGCCTTCAAAGGGGTGTGACGGGCGTAAATTGGGCCATGGCATCAAACCGCTTCACACTTTTTACTTTCAGAGGGGGTACTACCATATATCCAAAGGACATCAAGATCTGTCATTATCAGGTTGGCGTACTCTCCTCCTTAGAGATAGATAGTAGCACTTGAAGCCACTCTTGCTCATTCATCACCACATTTTATCCCATTCCGTCCACAACGAGAGAGAGAGAGATGTCTTAATCCTTTTGAATTTATTTCGACCAAATACTTTTATTCTTTGGCTTAATGTTGGCCTTCTGTTGAGATTCTGTTCAGACCTTTCTTCCGACTGAGGCGGAGTACAAGTGGGAGGTTTTATGTGAAGAGTTATTATTACATGGACAAAAATACATCCCTAAACACTCCTTGAGCACTAGGAGATGTATCCCATTTTAAAAATTTATCCTAACCTTAAGCAGACTAATTCCTGCTTGACATTCAACAACCATTTCTTGAAGACGAGATTTCACATTTTTCCTTCCCCGTCGTCCCAATGAGCTTACAAACACACGACTACATAAATATAAGTTTAAATTCATACACAATTTTGCAAGATTCAGTCCAATTTTAGAGAATTTGTTGTCTGGGTGGATCCAACAGAGCCAATATAATAATACATCTGCATAAGCGGATTATTGAAGAAAATCTCTCCTTAAAACGAACTTACTTTACATGTAGGTAGTCCATTGTCCTGATGTAGCATGCTACATCAGGACACAGGTGGTTTCTAAACTAGCACCCGTCGTGGCATGTTCTTCCTCTTGTTACTATTCTTGGCATCCTACGTACGTATCCCCCACCCACAAAAGTTTCCAGTTGGTCGAAGAATTCCTATTGATTGTGTGAGACACGCAATAAAAACATAACCTTTCCCCAACCCTTTGAAGAATTCATTAAATTACGAAAGTTACACAGTGTAAGAGTGAAAAGCTGTCGCGTCGCATCGATAATGTCGGGTCGAGTGAAAGTTGCACTCATATTGCCGAGTCTCACACAGTGGGACTCTCACTATCGTAGATGGAAGACGGACCTGTCAAGAATCATGAACAACATCATCAACACCAACTTCTTCCTCGCCACCACGAACCGACCGACTTGGTACATTTGTAGCAGAACTGCCACTGCATCTCTCATGGCAAAAGTAAGTCTTTGTGAAAAAAAGGCTTCGGAGAGTTTTCATCCGGCCACAGTCTTTCTATGGGAAAATTTTTTAGCCTTGCAGACCATGCCCACCCACCACATCCGCCTTTCCTAGTCTCACACGAACAAAAACACACGTATTATGAACTCGTCTGACAGGATGCATGCTGAGCCTTGATTAAAGTCTTTCCTTTCCTCGACCAGTATGAAAGTCAAGTACAAATTGATAAAAGCTTCTGTCCTAGTTTAATAGCGTGGTGCATTTTACATGTAAATCCTTGCGTATTGTGAGATCAATGTCGTTTGCACAGGCTTTTTGTGTTTATTTTTAGACAGTACTTAGCATTGTCCAGTGGTGTTTCCAGTGATATTAAACTTATTCCAATTTCCTAAACGGGATAATTTCAATTGGTTTTATATAATGCTTTAACGGATAAAAATAACGTGGAAAACGAATAATAATGAATTTCCTGTCTTTTGAAATGTGAGCATGATAAACTTAATCATGAGCAATGGCTCCAGGCCTTTCTTTCCCTAAAATCTAACTTTTTCTCCATACTTCCCTGTTTGTCCTGGGGTTTCATAAAATGAAATAACAAGAAAGTGAAGGAAAAGTAAAACTCTAACACTCTTTCAAACTGAATGTGTGCCTGGATTTGCTCATTTCACATAGTTGCAAAAAAAACAACTCAATTTAATAAATTGTTTTCCGAGAATGCATGTACTCGAAGCAACTGGCAAACAGTAATACACTGCTTATTCGTACTGTAGCTCAGCTCACCCATTATAAAATATATCATCCAGCATGAGCATGATCCGTAATGAAGCGTATAATTCGGAGAAGGCTTTGATTTTGCACAATGCATATGTAACATTTGCCTCTTGATGGAAGTGCTAAAGGAGAAGAAAATGTAAAATTTGCGTGGATGCAATTGCGTCATACCGTTGCTATCCGACATCGTTTAAGGAAATCGTACAAGAATAATGAGTACATGGATGCAATTGATAAACGTAGGCCTACACATATTAGATTTCTCCTTGGAAAGTCATTCTCGATAAAAAGATCTACAAAAATACATTTCATCCAGAATTTGTACATAGATCCTTACATTTAAAACTTTTTCCCCAGGGTACAAGCATTTCTAATTGGGTACAGTTTTTCGATCTTTCATCCCTGAGGGAGCAAATAACAAAGTGAAATAAAATGCCTGTACCAGTCAACCATCCGAGTTAACAATTCAAGAATATTTCCAATTTGTCGCCACTTGAGTTAACTGCATGACAATCGTGTGACGCTTTTCTCACGCTCGTTTAGAATGCCATATTTAGATTACAGAATGGAAAAACTCATGTATCTTGGACATTGATATTCTAATTTTAATGTTGTTCCCTTCCCACACAAGTTCGTGCACAATAGATAAATATGACTTTCTAAGATATGCATACATGACTGGACTGCATATTTATTTTAGACTGAGAGAAATATGTATCCTAATTTTACTTTCACTCTAGGCAAAACTAAGGAATACACAATATGCGATCAGGAGAACAAAGTGCACAAACATCCATCCATATCAAAAAACATCCAAAATGTTTATTCCTTTTCAATGGTAATGATTCAACATCGAGAACTGTGTAACAATACTCTTTAAATAATTTCAAAATTGTTGGATTGGTTATCACAAAAGTCTCCCGGTGTGTACATAAAAATGGATATTATAAATACGAGAAATTATATAATATTTTTACGTTTATTTGTAGTAATGACAGATTCATGATGAAGGGTTGGTGTGGTCCCAGGAATGATAAGCGGAACAGACTAAATACATGCATTGCTAAGTATTATTGCTCATTACTACGTTACTGGAACGGTCGACGACGTGGAGAAAGCAGAACATCGTGTTAAAAATGTACACAGCATTGATACCTTGAAGCACATTCAGTATAAAACTCCACCATCCACTTAAACGCTATAAGAAATACTAAAAAATTGTGTATACAAAAGACGGTAAAAAGATCGCAGAGAACAAACAACTGTTTTTATACTAAATATTGGGTATAAATTATTGTGACTGACTAGTGAGAAATTCATGCAATGCCTTCCAAATGGCATTGCATGAGAGGATGATGATTGACATGGTATGTAAAACTCACGTGAGAGAGATAGGGTTGATTAATGCCGTACATACACTAGTTACTAACTTTAACCAACCAGCAATAATAACATTTTATGTATGTAGGTTATTGGCAAAATGCATTGCAACGAAAAAAGGAACGGAAGCTTAATACTTAGACTAAAAACAATGATTGTTGAATAACACTTAAAGTTTTTGTATTTGCTGTGTGAGCGTTATCAAGTCGACTTTTGTAGCTCTATTTGTCCCTCCAATGACTTTGCTAGGTACATCACAAATAACTGTACAAAAGTTAAAAGAACAACATCATTGTTAGAAAACTGTACTAAATGAAAGCATTTATCTAATACTTGTTAAATTTACTAACCTGCATTAATGCGATCCCTACAGCGAGTCCAGCAACAATGTATAAATTTCGATTGATCCATGATTTTAGAGATTCTAAACAGCCCTGTGTCCATACTTTGTCTTTCGGATCGTGTTGGAGCAAGGATGCATTCTTTTTTACCAAGACTGGTGTCGTAGTCACTCCCTAAAAACAAAATTACATATAAAATATTAACATGTATTAATATGCTTAGGAGTTTGTAACTAATTAACACAATCTTACAGCTTCACGCTGAACTCCATATCCGCACATGATATTTATCAACCCGCTCTATCAAAATCGTACAGCACAAATTTAGTCAAAAAAGGATGAAGTAATGGAATTGCATATTCATTTTAAAATTAATTGACTTACAGACATGTCAGTTGCATTTTTACAACAAGAATAAGGCACTCCACACCTCTCTATACTTGGATTGAATTCTGGACCGGTGCAGTTAAAGTACTCGTTTTTAGACCTGCACAAAAAAACGTTATACGACTATGGTATGTTTAACGAATGAATAAAATAGTTACTAACCAATCTTCATAACTCCTTGCGCTCAAACCACAACAATGAAACTGTAACAGAAACAAAATAAAAAAATTTACACCATAGTTCTGGAATACAAAATCAAAAACAACTGGTCATCTATGCTTCTCCATTCTTACCTCTTGCTGAATGAAATCTATAAAGTTTTGCAAATCTGGATCTTCCCTGTATTTTTTAATAAAGTTGTCAGTGATCCGTCCAGAAAGAAAACCTTCAACTTTGGCAGGAAAGACGAAACACAGGATTGCAACACCCAACTCCAACAGAAAGAAAACGACCAACGCCAGAGAGTACTAGATGAAAGAAAAATAGCAATTTTTTAACATTTTCAAATATATATTTACAGACAGTTCTTTCTTATAGTTTTCTCACCAGTTGAAGTAAAGTCGTATTCTCCCTTAGAGCACCGATGCAGCCTTTAGATTAAAGAGCACAACACAGAATATTTTATATACTATAAAACCCAGTGTCACTTAATGTTGACCAACTAACCCGCAAAGCTGACGAAGAATATGACAGCCCCAATGATGGCAATAATTAAACCTACATTGAAGAGAATATCTGCTATATCCGTGACTCGAACACCATCCCCAGTCTGCCACTGGTCAACTAGCGCATACACCCCAATTCCAATCAACGCTCCGCCAATCAACTGTAACAATTAATAGAAAAAATAGTCAAAATAAACTCTTCTAACTCTTAAATAAACGACATACCCAGAACAGAAAATTGAAAAAGAACATTGTGTATTTAGTACAGGAACTGATATAGGTTGCATTTCTCCTTCGAGCCCTGTACGAAATAGGGACGGCAACCATCCTCTCAGGTTGGCGTACTTCACGCATTTTGTAAACTGCAAATAACCAAGACATTCATAAAATTTCACGCTATACAAATCCTTTTAAAATGCAAATTTTGAACACCCAGTACCACACCTTCTAATAATCTCGTTCAAGCCCGTAATTAGTAGTCCCCAGAGAAATGACTCCCTGACGCTGCTTATCTCGTATACCCGTATTTAAAGAGATTTGTCGTACATAGTGCTGCTAATGTTCCACTGAAGAAATACTGGCCGGAACAATACGAACGACTAATATACAAATTCTGGCAATTATTATGTCACCCACCCCAACTAATTCGGACAGATGATGAACACAATCGAGTGAAAGCCCAAAATCAATTCATTTTGTTACTATTATGAATATTCAACAAGTTTCTTATAATTTCAAGTAATGTCATCCGTGGACGGGGGTTATCTGGCAAACTGTAGATGAAACGTTTCCATTTTCTAGTCCTACCAAAACTTATCCTTTTCCCTTAACTTTCACAAGGACGAGAGAACGAACGTTGTCTGGACAAGATTACTAAGAAGACCAAGAACAAAGAGGACAACGAAGAGATCTCGAGACGAAAATCTTGTAATAACTGTGCGTGACTAAGGTATAAAATATTTTGTGATAGATTTAGCTTGGTGTGGTGGTAAAAAAGGATGATGATGACTAAGCCTGGAGCAAGGACAATGACAACAAGCAACAATCATCAGCCCTGCGTGAACCAAAATATTAGATTTAGGAATAGACAAGAATCTGGTGATTTTTTAGCTGCAGCCAGCCTTCCAAAGCCCCACCAGAGGACGCTCCTGACTTTCTCTTGGAGAGAAACCTCGCAAAAAAAGACACTGCGTAAAGGCGTCTCGTTAAGATATCCATCGACCCATGCAAATCGTGCCTTGTTAGCTGCTGGGGTTTGCAGTACTACAAAAACCTCGAAATGCTACAATAATTCTACATCCACTGCTAATAGCTAAAGTAAAGTGGTGAAGATAATGTGGTGCAACTAAAAATATTCTCATCAAGTGTCTGAAAATTTAGAATTTGAACACCATCCATCCCATTTTATGTACACCTTCTGGATGCAAACTTGCTTTATGCGCAGAAATACTGCAAATTTGAATGTAAAATAGTGCAAGTAAATGACACTAAGAATGAGACACATTTAGTGAACATGGCTATTAGCATACTTGATGAATAGCTTTTGTTTTATTTGTGGAGCTGTAAAATGAAGATTTAAATAATAGTGTAGCACATTAAATAATATAATATTTAACCTAAAGACAAATACGTGCAAATAATATAATCGCAGGATTCGCGTTCTGAATAAGAAAGGTTGTGAAGTTGAAATATGTTTTTGCTAATTCTTTGTCTCCAGCACAAAGAAGGTAATACAATAATAGAAATATGAAGGAAATTTATATGTGTACGTACCAGTGAATACAAATGCATGCGTCAAAATAATGGATTTCTTACTTAATACTGATTATTAGTTAATTTTGACAATATTGCACAGCTAAAATTTATGTATGTATCAAGTGCTACTCGCTGCTGCTTTCCACATACATAACTAATTTTTAGTAGACGGATTTTTATTATTATTATACAGTACAATTTAGTAGTTATGAATCCTTTTAAGGCAAAAATTTTCTACGACTAATTATAAGTTACATATTTACATACAAAAATTTTGCGAGTAATGAATCTTATGTAGTACTTGTTATGTAGTGGTAGGTATTAATATTAGAGTTATACAGTTCAATTTTACAATTGATGACAGGCAAGTCGTGTCAACATCGTTGTCATATTTTTCAACTTTCCAACAATTTAACTCCTTAAGGCCTCCAGACGGTTTTGCATCCTTTCGATTTCCTCTTCGTCTTCGGATTCCTCTGCAGGAGGAGCGATTTGAGGCATGGCTCGTGTCCCTGCGGGAGGAGCTTTTCCAATCTGACCAGCAGTGACCTCCCACAAAATCTAGAAAGGAAATAAACTTTAAACTTTTAAACCAAGAAATCAATTATTACGAAAAGACTGTCGAATAGAAAGTCTTAAATTACGTTATCGATTTCCTCATCCGCAGCCTCCTCCAGTTCCTCTTGATCTTCAAGGGATTCGAACGTATCGTTCACCATTTCCTCCAAAATCCCAGCCTTCATCATTTCTTTTGATAATTCCCTCATGGTAGCTGCAACTTCCGGTATTTTTACAAGGGCTTGGACTGACTGCATTACTTGGGTCGACTTTTGAAGCGCTCCTGTCGTCTTCAGTACGGCTATATATCACAACACAAAACCAGTTTAACTACTTATATTCTATTATATTTTAAAATAATAATTTGATGTAATTCGTACCCAACTGTTCCTTCATATGCATCTGTATGGAATTCAGGTGGGCTTTAGAGGTATAGAGTTTTCCAATGGCTTTTTTAGACCGGACGAGCTCCTTGGCGTAAACGCGACATACGTCCTTGTCTCCCTTTTTCGCAGCATCCTTCAAAGATCGCTTAATTTTCTCCTCTTCCCTCTGGATTCCTACAGAATAGGAATAGGAAAACTTTTTTCAAGTATGTGTAAATCACACGTAACTTTTTTACATGGCGAAATATTCTTGTGACATGACCCTGACCTCTGACTTGACGATCTAACGACGTAGACTCTCTCCGAATCTTTTTTGTCCATTCGGTCACCTACATAAGTAAAAAAGAAAGACGTCAGCAATTATTCGTCATCCATAATAGAATATAAACAAACGTAAACTTAAAAGACAATTTTATGATGACATCTTACCTGAACTTTTGGATCACTTTCCGGTGATTTTCCAAATAGACCCATGATGACGATGAATTAATTATCCTACCAACTAATTAACGTGACCACTTTGTAAAATTTATTTCGAGAACTGAGGAAATGGAGAAACTCAGCTGTGTAAGCTGAGCTAGTCATCACATCAACATCCACCACCTCTTCCACGCAAAATATCTTCACACGTTGCTCAGACACTTTGATGTCCGCCGAATGTTATATGTAAATTGTAATGATGTATTGTATGCTGTATTATAATGCACAGATAATTTTTTCACAGCGGAAACTGTACCCAAAAAATGTTTATTATTGTCTCTTAATTAAACTGCAACCTGCAAGTTTAGTTGTATACATATGTACATATAAAAATTGGTCAGTTTCCCAAAATCCAAGTATACATTACACATCGTATGAATGACTCATGTCTGATGTCATTAATGCCCTCATCAGTCTCATTTGCTAATCAGTATTCATTGCATAGAACTCTGTTAACGGACACTGTGTTAAAAAGTTTTTTTGAGACAGGAAGCTGTCTCAAAATCGATTGCAATGATTGAAATGAAAGAGCGTGGATGATAGAACCAGAGTTCGTGGGCCTAACTCCCCCCAAGAGCTGTGATTCGAAATTCACATGGTCAACTGACTTCCTCCAAACGATGTGAAATATGTAACAATACAAGAAAAGGGCAATTGAGGGCCTTAGAAATTTTATAAGGTCGACTTTAAGTTGAAGTAAATATTTCTGAGATTGGGACACATATGCACTTTTTTTCGGAATGTGAAACTAGATTTTTAGAAAATATTTTTGACATCACCTCAAACTTTGAGGCTCAAAGCTGATAAATCCCTTGAAGAGGACAGCGGAGGTCTTTAGATCAATTTTCAATCTATTTCTTATGGGAAAACGACTTCCATCGGTCTCCGTCCATGAAGCAGAGCACAAGTTTACAGTTACAGACGAAGAAAGGAAAGTATAATCTATCAATTCATCTAAATTGGAATGAAATTAAGTGCTGACTTCGTATGACTTACTTAAAAAGGTGTCATAAAGATAAGAAGAAGAGGAATGATTTATTTATATAGATTTCATTAAGCTGTCTCTAGTTTCATTATTTCAGTTTGTAAAGGTCTGGAAATATGCACCCATTAAGTTTTCATGCCCTTGTATCGTGATCATTGACTGAAATTCGTTCAAATTTATAGAAAGTTTAGCGAAAATCATGACAAGTTTCGATAGGAATCCAGACTAGAATACTTTTCCAGAATACTTTTAACCGTAGATATATGCATAATAAATTCACCTTGTCTCTGCCACGGATAAAACCTTGACCTTAGCCTAGAACTTGCATAACAAGACAAAAGTTGAAAGTACAAGGCAAAAAGGGTTACGTGGAGTAAACACTGACCTAACCCTTTTTACGATTATTTGAGCAGGTACTTTTCACCTAAATGCGTAATGTGCATTCCCACGCCGTCGTAATGAGAACCTGTGATGGGTTTTCATCAACAGTAACAAACAATACCGAGTCGGTATTGCTAATGCATTGTGGACGATGGACTTGGACAACGGTTTTTGAAATTTTACAAAACATGATTCTACATAAACGCAAATGCACGATCCTAAAAGTCTGCCTAACAATTTAAGCGAGCGACTATGCCAAGCACATATTTATAACTACAATTAGTTTTTTTATGGCGTAGCTATTTGTCCAGAATTTGATCCCATTTTGCACTTAAAAACGATCCCCAGATGAGCTGTCATCTTAAGATAATTTATGACTTTCGTCTTGTAATCAGAGAACTCCACTTTACAGAAAAAGTTACAAGAATAAAAACAAATTTTTTGTCTTTCTGTATTAAATACGACCAAAACACTTGAAATCAATCCCATTGTTAATCATGGGAGCTGTCACTTTTCTTAATTTTGTACAAAAGTGGAGCAGAAGAATACAAGAACAGAATCTTGTAATAATATGCAGGGCTCCCTTACTTACTCATATACATGCAAACAAGGGTCTTAGTTGCCTTGCTTCTGATGGGTCTTTTTAAGCACAAACTGGGTCAGTCGTCATTCCTCTGGAGGATGGGAACAGGTTGGCAAAGAACAGGGAACCGAAACCTTGTTTTGATTGCCATAAAAATTCTGGAGAATGAGGAAGGCGAGAAAAAAGATGCAGTTTTCTACATTTATTGTACGTGAGAAGGGTCAAGGACGACGCGAACGACGAAGGAGGAAAAATCCTCTCTTTCCATATAATCCCCATTACTGCCGTATATTACTGTGGATGAAGTTCTAACCCTGCAGACTTATTACACCGCTTTGTAGCATTAATTTCACGACGTCACCGGTCAAAAAAATTTTTTCCTCCAAACTGGTCCAAAATAAAAGTCTAGCATGGGAATAGTATAGAAAAATTATTTTTAGCGTTCTATGACCCCTGGGTCATGAATTAAGGGCCCCTGAAGGGTCAAATAGCGTTCCCTGATAACCCCATGCAAATGGGGTATCAAATTAATCCCCTGGACCAGGGGAACCAGAAAAATATTTTTATAAATTTTTATGACCCTTGAGTCGTGAACTAGGAGCCCTTGAAGGGTTAAATATCATTCCCTCACAACTAAAGGCAAGTGGGGTATCAAATTAATCCCCTGGACAAGGGGAACCCAAAAAATATTTTTCTGATTCCCCTGGTCCAGGGGATTAATTTGATACCCCATTCACCTTAGTTACCATGGTTACTATGTTGACCCTTCAGGGACCCTTAACTGTTGCCCGATAGGTCAAAAAAATTCAGGAAAATATTTTTATGCTTGCCCTTTGCCAGGGGATTAATTTGATACCCCACTTGCATGGGGTTACCATGGTTACTATTTTGACCCTTCGGGGGCCCTTAACTCTTGACCTGAGGGTCAAAAAAATCCAGAAAAATATTTTTTGGGTTCCCCTTGTCCAGGGGATTAATTTGATACCCCACTTGCCTTTAGTTGTGAGGGAATGATATTTAACCCTTCAAGGGCTCCTAGTTCACGACTCAAGGGTCATAAAAATTTATAAAAATATTTTTCTGGTTCCCCTGGTCCAGGGGATTAATTTGATACCCCATTTGCATGGGGTTATCAGGGAACGCTATTTGACCCTTCAGGGGCCCTTAATTCATGACCCAGGGGTCATAGAACGCTAAAAATAATTTTTCTATACTATTCCCATGCTAGACTTTTATTTTGGACCAGTTTGGAGGAAAAAATTTTTTTGACCGGTGACGTCGTGAAATTAATGCTACAAAGCGGTGTAATAAGTCTGCAGGGTTAGAACTTCATCCACAGTATATTGTACCGATTTTTGAATAATGATTCTCTTCCTAAGAAATTCCTTGCAAGTATTGTGTGCAAGTGGCACAAATTAACAGATTCCTTGCACAAACAAGTTAAGCGAGAAAATGTAAGAATAGACTTCCTTTTGAAATCATGACTGTTTTTTTAGGATATCCGAACCGTATTATATAAAGTGCCACTCATAAAATTTTCGAACCACAAATGTGTCAGACTTGTAATCTTATCGTAGATACATATTTTTTAAGGGATACATCAATTCTAAGTATTTGATGGCTTGGAAGATTAGAAAGACACCATATTTTTCATAATGAAGAGTGCAATTTGAGCTGAAATATGTGCATGTATCTTATCTCATCTCGGCACAATATCTGCCCGAATTCCTGCCCAAATAAATAGCTTTTCAGTGTACGAAATCAACTGTGAATAAATCACGAAACTTATCCATCAATCAGCCTTGACCATGATACGGATAGTTTTGCTTCTATGTACCGAAAACCCCGTCATCATTTTACGTAAGAAATCCCTTATCACTCGCTAGTCAAAGTTTCAGGAAGTACAGTGAGACTAGGAGGTTCTATGCATATCTACGGATAGGTACTTAAGCCCACCTTAGTAAATATGTAATGCTACTGGAGTATTGAAGGGCTCCCACCGATGGTGATTTATGCAACAATGGGCAGCTCACCGGCAGTCAGCACAATGATGAATTTTTCTGTTGAAAACACTACGATTTCTCATGCATCTCAACTTCTCTGATCACGTCTTCGTCTTCCACAGGGAGTGGTTTGCCCATTGTTATTCGGTTGCATGATTCTCACGCAACAGAGAAAGTAGTAAGCATGGACAGGTAGATCTAGATTATTTTGTACGATGATGGGTCCCACGAAACGATAAAAAGGCAAAAATTTCGGGCCATCTTTTCATACCTGTTCCATCCCTTACAGCCCGAGCATCTCGCAGTGAGTGTCGTTGTCCCCAAGTGTTCTAGTGACTGACCAAGTGAACAAAGCCCCACTAACATGGCTTCTCTGAGGCTGTGTGTGGCACTGCTCGGACTGCTGGTGGCCCCCCTTTCGGCCGAGTTTAATCCAAATCGTCACCCACAATTCAAGTCAAACGAAATTTCGCAGTTTCCTCCGCCCAATAGCCAATCGTCAATATATCAGCAACAACCGAAACAACCAGTTCCTGCTACCGGTTTTAAAACGATGCTCTTCCGAGTGTTGGGAATTGGAGGAAAAGAGTCCCCCAAACAATTCCCTAACATTCCAAATGGTCAAACGGGTTTTCAAATTATGACTCCCAACTTTGGACAGGGAGGACCCTGCGGAATCCCATTCTCGACGACGACGACCACCACGACACAGTCACCGTTCGGACCTTGTCCCTTCCCGAATCCGTACATACCACCCGGCCCCACTCCGACGACGCCTCGCTATCCGGACGTGACACACCCTGTGCCAACCAAGCGACCGGGTGACAATTCTGCTCAAGTCACGGCTGATCCATTTGATCGGTTTAGCTCGTCATCAATGAGACCACCACCTCCATTTCCGGTTGATCCGTTTCCAGAACCATCTCGAGTTCCCCCGGTAGGACCTTATCCTATTCCAGAACCCTCAAGGGTTCCACCAGTCCCCCTATATCCTGTGCCTGAACCCTCTCAAGTTCCCCCCGTTGGTCCTTATCCTATCCCAGAACCCTCAAGGGTCCCACCAGTCCCACTATATCCTGTGCCTGAACCCTCTCGAGTTCCCCCCGTAGGGCCTTATCCTATTCCAGAACCGTCCAGAGTTCCCCCAGTCGGACCTTCAATTCCGGACCGGATAAAACCAGTAGATCCATATCCAGTGAATCCTTACCCAATCCCCAATCCGACACGTTTTCCTCCCCCACAACCGACACGACCACCCCTTCCAACAACCACTTCTCCACCGAGGAGACCACCTCCTGGCCCAGTCCAGCCAAATTTTAATGATGTTTACGCCCGTCGCCTCCCATGTTCTGCCCTTCGACCTTTTGTCCCCCACGGATTTCAATATGCGAGCATTGGAAACTACGCAGCCCATCAATGCGACATGATCCACCCCAACGCGGTCAACCCCATGTTACGAAATGAGCCTGCTTGTTCGGTCTTGGAATCGTTGAGACTTTTGGGAGCGAACAAGATGCGAGATCTCATTTTGATTTCGGGCATGGAACCTGTTTTCCAGCGTCTCAGTAAGTGCATCAATATCAATTTATTACTGATTTGATGATTTATTTACAAAAATTCAAAAAATTCAAAATCCGAATAATTTTTTCAGGCAATTACACTCTCTTTGTTCCACTCGACGTCTCATTTCACCGCCTCCCCGCCTGGCTTCTGAGCAGTCTAGACACGGACGAGAAACTTCGACAAGCCTTCATCCTGAACCACTTTGTCAAGAAGGACGTCCCACTTTCCTCCATGGGAAATGAGTTTCTCATTCTGAACGACAGACCTGGACGACACAGGATTCGGACCAATATTTACTTTGAGAATACTGAATCGGTATTTTTTTGTTTATCATTCTCGTATATAAGAAGTGTTGTATCAGTTTAATTATGTTCTATTAATATTTGTCCAGCCTATTTACACCGCTGACGGAGCCAGGATTGTGAGGGGAGATATTCTCGTCGAAAATGGAAGAATTCATCTCACGGACAAAGTCATCATGCCAAATCCATCTCGCAATGCGGCCGAATATCTCAGTGAAAAACAGGACTTTGAAGGTGGTCAACTTATTTACATACCTAAATAGAACGCATGTCATATATGTAAATACTGCAAGATTTGAGTCAAAATTTATGTTTAAATTCTGCAGCATTCTGGAATATCGTGAAAAACACGAATTTGGAAATTTTCCAAAGTGATCGCCCCATCACGGTCTTCATTCCTTTAAACGCTGCCATTGACACGTTGGATCTGAAAGAAATCATGGCCGAGCCGGAGAAAATGTCTCGTAAGCCAGCACATACCACTGTTGGGTTACTTGCATTTTCATCAATTTTATAACTCAACTTAAGCAAATAATTTTTTCGCAGGATTTGTAAACCACCACGTCGTCAATGGGACTTACTATTCTGCTGGTTTGATTAATAGCAAATATCTCATGACCAACTATGAGAGAGAAATTAAAGTTGGAATTGCTTCGGACAGTTTTTCAAGTAAGTGTCAAACTCTCAACTAAATTGCGCAGAAGATGAGTCCTAAGTTCCATCCTAAAATGAATCTTTTTTTTCAGAGTACATGACCACCATCAACGGACACATTCGCGTCATCAAGTCCGACATCCCATTTACCAACGGGGTGGCCCACGTCATAGAAGAGGCATTCTCGCACAAGAAGGAATTTTTCCTGTATGACGAAGGTGACGAATTCGAATATGAATACGGCGTCATTAGCAGACGAAGCATGAAAGTGACCGGGGAGGAGAAATTTCTCGACTTTTAACTCATTCATGTCACTTACGACAAGAAATAACTACTCAAATTAGATATTAAAATAGATTGAATAACATAATTCTTATTTGTTTTAGAATAATGATAATATTTTATTAGAAGTAACAACAGCAGAGACAATCAGCTTGATGAATGCAACCGGTGACACAATAAGCAGCTTAAACAAATCGTATATATTTATGATTTACAAGTTTGCTTACCTTTATACATAGTAACTTTAAGTAGAGGATACATAATTATGGTAGTATTTAGTATTTTGAAAGTTTGGCAACAACCTGGCGAATATCATTCACTAACTAACTACATAAAACTATTATGACACAGAGTATACTTACCCTACCCAAGATTTTCTACATAGAATAGGATGTATTTACTTATTACTTACCGTATGCATATGATATACCTATGAATTAGTTGTACTAAATTTAATTATTTAATATCTAAACTGTCTTTAAAGCTAATGAAATTTGTCACAAATCTGTGTATGGCATACATTAAAACGTATAAAACTTTGCTTAAAATTACTTTGTTTATGTACAAATAACCCTCTGGATCCCCCAACTAGTATGTATAAGCATATATACATAAATTGTAAAATTAAAATAACAATCACTACACCATCATTTGTCATAGCATCATTATTTCTACCGCCTACATTTTTGGCAAAAAAAGAAGAAGGAAAAACATGTTTTGTAAAAAATAACGAAAGGTACGAATGGATTCTGTTACAACTAGAATAAAAATAATACTTTAGTTTCAGACTCTCAGTTTTCCCAGCCGGAGAATTAAATCTTCAATGGCGTCCCTCCCGTTGAAGTCGTCGTGAAGACAATAAATGTTTTTCAAGTCTTTCTTGTGGCTCTCGAGCACTCGCCAATGCACGGCTCGCTGGACCAGGTTGCGAATCGGGTCCAAGGCCATCGACTCACCTGCAACGATATTTTAATTGTAAATCATGTGTACACAATTGGAAAAAAGTCTGTGGAAATAACGTTACCGTATAAAATGGCTTTATTTTGTAACTGCTTCTTAATCTCGGCCAACATGTCCATTTGTAAAACTTTTTCCTCCGCCTCGTGATCCACGAGTCGTACGAAGACGTGCGATGCGGTCGTGTATGCGTCGAGAATCGGTCTCAGAATGTTTTTCAGGAAAACCAGCCTGCTCAGGGAGCCTGAGCTCTGAATTTCTAACAAGTTCTCCCCGTCAGGGTCCAAGGACTGTTTGAATTATAAATACACAAAATGGTCAAGATTTTGTAGGTGGGATTAATCAATTGTGAGATTTTTAAAAAATTTGCGTTTCTTTCTGACCACTGAAAAAATTCCTTGTTCCGACATAAACTTTATCTTCGTTTTGATGGCAAAGGCCAGCGATTGGCAGGGAGGACAGAGGAGGAATTCGTAGTACAGGACGTCCGCATATTCGAGACAAGTTGCAACTAATTCGGTCTCTCGTAATTTCTCGTTAGTTTCAAAGTTGTTATTACAGGTATCACCCAACAATTTGAACACACCGGTAGCTGGAAATTGTATGAAACAATTCATATAACATAACCATTCTTGAGGTTACAGTATGAAGTAGTATGACAAACCAATAACGGCCTCCATGGCGTAAATGGGAAGGAGACAGTTGGAATAGTACGACAATTCGATCACGTTCGGAAGTCCGGTGACGGGTCTCAAAAATTTTGATCCGCTGTGATACTCGACACGGATTAGAGAGGGGCCTAGCACTTTCACCTGCACGAGCAGAATTTTTATGTCTCCATCTTAAAGACGATTAAGTGATTCTCATTCTTACCCCGTGATTGAGAGCAGATTCGATGTCCTCGTCCGTAAACGTAGAGTCGTGTCCCCTTACTACCAACTCTTCCTTCAAAGCCAGCATTTCCCCCTTGAGTCTGTCGAGACTTATCCCGTTCCGGAACTTGTTGAGGAGGAGGAATGCAATAGCGTTGGTGGACGTCATCGTGTAACATTTGATCCCTTCTGCAAGTTGACAAATCTCTCAGGAACTTGAGCAGATTTCAATAGTTTGTATACCGTAAATGGTACCTTACCGTAAATGGCGTGGCGACCTAGAGCATCGACAACTTTGCGCTGCCCGCTGTACGATAAGCCCTCTAAACCCGTTGACGCAGTAAATGATTCTTCACCTTTCTCCATACCACTTTCTGACCCAGAAATACTGCTGTTACTGCTGCTAATGCCACTACTGCTGCTACTATTACTGCTACACGTGATGGGAACGTGGGCTGCTTCCTCGGCACAATGTCGCATGACAAAATCCTGAAAAGGGAAACCCCATCATTAGCTTGACCGCTTGCAATTACACCCACTTCCAAATTTCTATTAAAATGCTTACTTTCATGGAAAAGGGGTGTCCATAGTCCACCCTTGCGTTGCCATACTTGGGTTTAAGGGAGCTGAAGAGGGCAAGAAGGGCAGAGGCGAAACTTTCGTTCACTTTGGGCTGTCCCAACTGCTCGCGAATATAGTTGCCCTCGATTATTCGGTCGTAGCTAAAGTTGACTGGAACAACGAGAATATCCTTCACGTCATTAGCCAGAAGTGATTTCATGACAATGTTCAAAAGTCCACCTGTTGAAGTGACGAGTTGCTTATAAATTTTCATCAAGAGGCTGCGCTTTGAATATGCAATCAATACCCTTTGGGAGACACGGCTTCCCCGTTCGCGTCCTCCCTCCCTCCAGAAAGAACTCCATGTCGTTATCGTTTGTGAGCGTTTTTCGCATGTACGAATGGATTATAGTGCTGTATAGCATGTCCTTGCTTCCTGCCTTCGTCTCAAATCGCCTCTTGATAAAAAATCCTCCGACACTTTTCATCATCAGGCTATTCGAAAAATTCAGCATCACTCACTTTAAAATTGTCCTACAGAGTGATGATAAATATTATTTTGTTCTACCTGAAAACTGGAATGTTCAAGTTTTCTCCAGCAGCGACGCACGGGGTGCGCATGCTGCCCCAGATGAGCGTCCAGGATATGAGGACGTAGTCAATGTGACTCCGATGCACGGGGAGGAAGAGGATCGGATGTCCACTCTTCCTCGCTTTCCGAATCAAGTTCATTTGACTGTTGCGGATTAAAATTTGGGGGTAGATTTGCGCCAGAAACTTCCCAATTATCCAGGATGCCCATCTAATCCATACAATTAGTAAGAATGAAGTTTAGGAAATTTCACTTCACCTTCTCCCATTTTTGTTCCATATTGGCTCAGCAGCCAGACGAAGTTACCTGACGTACAACGCATACCACGGATGAGCCGGTTGTTTCGCCCTCATTTTCTTAATGAGAGCCTCCACTTGGCAATAGTGCTTCTTGATAAGAACATCCAGCTCGGCCTTGTTTCCTTTTTCCCGATATTCTTGCATGGCAGCTTCTGTAATTGCCCATTTCAACTGTTCATCTCCCATCACCTGTGTTACACAAATTAAAAAACAAACAACAACAAAATCAGTACAAACTACAAATTTGTCCGTTCAAAGTATCAATTTTATGCTGGAACTTACTTCCTTGAGGGAGATGACGTGATACTGCTCACCCACGTACCACTTTCTCCACCAGAATAAAAAGTCCGAGAAGAGACGGACATACCACGGATTGTGGGGGGCTCGGGTTTCCTCAAAGTCAAGACAGTTTGTTAATGGCTTGGCTTGCTCAATCTCCTTCTTTACAATTGTCTACGTATATAAAATACAAATCTTTAATCGTTTTAAGCTTTTTTGTCTCGAAATGCAAATAATGAGGATAATTCTTCTATAACTAATAGCAAACAATTATACTTTAGTTGGGGAATCGCACACGAAACATGCCCCTTGCGAAGGTCGTAGCAACTCCTCTGACACAAAATTGTCCAACAAGTCGCCAAAGCTGCGCCGTCTCGTCGTTGTGGTTGCAGCCTCGTCATCTTCATTCACCTTGGGTCTCGACCTGGGCGGAAATATGGTTCCGAAAACGGGGATTCTCATGAAATGCTTCATCTCCGAAGTTTCCAGAGAACTTTTGGTCCCAGGTTCGGAGGAGTAATCCATAATAACGGCGCCCACTCTTTTGTACATTTGGCGAAACTTTTTGATCACGTCCACGTTGCACCTGGATGGAAAATGATTTTGAAAATAGCATAATTTAGGAAACTCCGCTGAGGTTTTGTGGCGTGGCTGACTATTATGCATAATTAAAGTGCAAATTATGTAATACGTGGCGTGGTGCGATTGAGATGCAATAGAAAAAGACATAATTCTGCATTAGAGAGATTGGATTATCGAGAAACCGATGACGAATCATGATTCTGTATGGTAAATAAGTGCACATGTATGTACGTACGAGCGTAGTAGATGTGATGTCAATAGGCGTAGAAGAACACATTGTTGGTTGTAAATGTTGCGAGAAACCGGTATATTTTGCCACAAAATCACTATCACTATAAATTAACGTATAACAACGTAGGTGCGTGTTGCAATCCCTGATGCAACACGCGGTGACCTAAAACTTAACAATAACACTGATCTCAGTACAGATTAATTTCTACAATCCTACTGACCATACCTACTCTTAGACGCTAGATGCATATACATACTTGCTGCCATATAATTACAATCTGCTCATGAATGCAATTATTGTCACTATTTTTCATACATCGCATTTGGTGCAGCTGAGGGTCTCCGGAAGGTCAACGTCAACATTTAAAAATCTCAACTCATAATGTATTTCTAGTATCAGTTTCGTTAAATTTGAGACAAGTGACAACTAAAAATTGGAAATATTTAAGCATTTTTCTTTAAAGCATTGCAAAATCGTTTATTTAATTATCATGAAGTTGGTGGCTCTACAATGTATTGATTCATCGAGCATAAGGCCGACATTTGTGTGTGTGTGTCTCTACAGTTCAATTTAAAAAAGATAAAGTGCAATCAATTACTTCTTCCATTGTACGATTGACGCATATTCTACCAACAGAGAAACGGAAAAGACGACGATTGGGCAAGGAAGGCATGGTGGTCATTAAAAAATGTGCTTTTACAAGGAACAAATAGCCAAATAACGTGTAAATCATGCAGGGCAAAAACAAGCCATTTCACTCTCGTTTGGTAGTTTGGTCAACGAATGAGACCAATATGATACATAAATTGTATACTCGTCGGTCTGCAAATCTAACTAACTATCTACCTAGTCTTACTTTTATTTCGTAGCATGCTTATTTGCCTGCTCATTTTATACACTGTCGAAATATGTATCATACATATTTCAACATTTTAAATGAATTTATACCAAGCCAATAAGTTATTACCCGTATTTCCACCAACAGAACCATATCGTAAAGAGACAAAGTCCCCACTCCATCACCGATCCAGGTATAATGTGCACCTGCATGATGCTGACTCCTCTTCTGCTGCAAAGCACTGGAAAAACGCTCACACGGACACTTTTATAATTTACAAATGTATCCTTTGTTCAGAGATGCATTTCAAAAAGTCAAAAATGGATAAGTTTATCAAAGTCACGGCATCTCAAACCCGAACATTTTTTCCACAGAATACTCTAGATTGAACAATCTTCTTCAAGTATTTCGTTTCAAAAGATGCGAGTAAAACATGTCAGCTTCTTTGGAGACGAGGCCTTTTCAAACCTGCCCAAATGTTTAAAGTCGAGCTTGTAGTCGTCCATTTTGCGTATTGTTCTGTCGAACTGGGACGAAAACGTCGCCACTGAAGAGCCTGGAGTCACTTGGACAACCAACCACTCTTTCGGAGACTGGCCACTCCCCACAACAAATATTAGTGAAAACAACGCCAAAGTTTAAAATTAACGTTTTGTGAGACGAGACAACGCCGGAAGACTGATGAAGGGACGCAGGGCGAAATGCGAATGAAAACCCAAACGCTTCACCCTGCCCTCACTTTGTTCTCCAAGCACATGGATGGGGTGAAGAGTGGTCAATAATAATAATTCACTAAAGTACGATCACATAAAAGTCTATCGTGACGCTACCGCTGGTGTGAACCTCTAGTCTGTATAGCACAATAATTTGTGTAAGTAAAAAAAGTCTTAGCTAAAGTTATGAGGCAATTATGACTTTAGACATATTATTGTGTTGCTGGTTGCATAATGCTTCAACTCGATGAGCCGCACACATACTAGAATCATATTTATTATACCACAAATTTTGAAGCTCTACTGTGGGGTCAGGTATGTATGGAGGGTCTTCCAAGTCAACACACAATATTGTCACTAGTAAATAAATAAATCCCTATCCCTTCAGCAATAAGTACCTCGATCCTGTCTGACAGCCAATATATTTTTTTTATATCAATCGATCAAAAAAGTGATACTTGAGCATATCAGTATGATCATTCATGCAAAAAGTGATGGTGAATGGGCTAATGGAAGTGTAGACGACATTGCAATTTCGCTTCTCACGTAAGAGGAAATGTAATCGATGGATGGATTGGATTCCAGCGTGTGTAAATACACATGTAAATATTCACGCAATAGGATTTGCATGCAGTCGTAAACACTTTAACATTTAGTTAAGGGTGCAGTAACATTTTCCTTAATTATGGGTGTCTCAAATTAAATTCCTATTGATTGAATTTAAGTAACTGCATTTAATTGTGGAAGAACAATCGAAACACCAATTCCAAATTCATCTCATTTTTGGTACAAAGTTATTAAGCGACACGTGTGCTAGTGACAAGCGTGTGCTGGATATTGGATATCCATTATTTTTTTCAAGAAACCTGTCAGTCCTCCCTGCATTCCATTTTAATTTTAAGTTTGTGCCATTCACACTAAAATTTATTCCATAAAAACTGGCCGTTAATCAATAACGATATCTTTGACCGCTAATTTTACCATGACTTTCATCATTGTTACAAGAATAAAAAAAATTTGCAAAAAATGGTGACCTAGAACTAGGAGACGACAGAAATGGATAGCATCGATACGAGTGAGTGAAGTAATCGTTTGGTCAACTGCTGCACCTTCTAATCTCATCGAATGACAAAACATGCGGTGCTCATCATATCGTCCATCCATCCACATTTTCGCATATTAATTCAGTCAGCCCACCTTCAACAAGTTCACGAAATGCTAATCGTGCAATACTGCAATACCACTTTGTACATAGTGCGAGGACTGATATTCATGAACTGCTGCCCCACACCTGCCAAAAATCACTACAACCTTGAATCGCACACAAACCCGTTTGAATGTTTCGGCAACCGTTTCGCTTCTTACGCAACAATTAATGCCGCCTATTACATACGCAGGCATATGCTGCTTCTGCTTCTTATTCTTATAGGCAGCGTTGGTTGGTGGTTTCTCACAACAGGCGATCATGGGGAATTTAGATGAGGGGGATGGATGCAGTGTAATCCGTATGCAATATCTTCCTGCAGTCGGAACCAATTATTAATCATTACTGCTCTGTTTAGACAAACGTTTATTTCTCATTTACGCAGAAACATCAAGATCGAGCTAATTTGCAATTCACTTTTTGTTACAACCTTGTTAGTAAAACGATGATTATCACATGCGTCAGGTTCGTCAGGATGAGGACATTTTCCAGAGAAAGTATACGTTTGAAGCTCAATGTAATATGTGCCATGAAACTGGAGCAAGAATTAGAATCGAATTTTGGTCTGGGTGAAAGGTGTCATCATGCAGGAATGCTTACTAATGTGCTGATGTCTCAATGATGACACTCACGTATAGATAATTAACTCTTTATTATAGCTTATTATGTCTACAGCCTAACGCACTACAGACTAGGAGGTTCATTTGATTTCTAATAGTGGAGTACACACAGCAACCGTTTTGTTTTAGTTATCACTTGGAATTATTGGAATGCAACGATCATAGTAAATATGTTCTACACACAAAAAAACTATTATTTTTGGACATAATATGACTTGTCACGCCTAGTAACATAATATTGAAAAAAATGAGCTGATGATTTATCATGTCGAGATTATTCTTTCATTTTACATCTGCGTCGTCATTTTTGTAGACTGAGTGTGTCTGGAATCTCTTGGGTAGAACTCTGCAAGAGTGGTAGCAGGGATACGTTTTAACATTTCCTTAGGGAAAATACGGAGAAGTTGCCATCCAATGTCCAGAGATTCAAACACGGTGCGGTTTTCATAATTTCCTATTTAAGAATTAGTAAATTATTAAAAATAGAACATTCATTGAACATTGGTTGTACTACTTTTTGCCATTCATACCTTGCGAGATAAAGTTCTTTTCAAACTTTCCGAGGAATTCCAAATAAAGCAAATCATCAGCGGACAAAGCTTCCTCACCCACGACGGCCTTCATGGCCTGCACATCCTTACCAATGGCATAGCACGCGTACTGTAAAAATATACAAGTACATTACATTGTTAAGAGTAATGCTTAAGAAAAATTCAAGGGGGTTTAAATTTATGTATAAACTGACCAACTGATTGGAAACGTCGGCATGGTCCTTTCTCGTCATCCCTTCACCAATAGCAGATTTCATCAGACGACTCAAGGAAGGAAGTACGTTGATTGGGGGATAAATTTGTCGATTGTGGAGTTGCCTGTCGACGTAAATTTGTCCCTCCGTAATGTACCCAGTAAGATCGGGAATTGGATGAGTGATATCTACAAAAATGTTAGTTGAACTTGTTTTAAAACACGCTGAACTATATATGTACGGTCTTAAGTAATTTCACTAGTCCTAAAAAAATTAAGGTTACCGTCGTTTGGCATAGTTAAGATTGGAATTTGGGTAATAGATCCATTTCTTCCTTCGACTCGTCCAGCTCGTTCATAAATGGTGGCCAAATCTGTGTACATGTAACCTGGGAAGCCTCGACGACCCGGCACCTCTTCACGGGCAGCTGATACTTCTCGCAAAGCCTCCGCATAAGAACTCATGTCCGTTAAGATGACGAGAACGTGCTTTTCGCATTGGTAGGCCAAAAACTCTGCGGCGGTGAGTGCCAGTCGAGGCGTGATAATTCTCTCAATGGTGGGATCATTAGCCAGGTTTAAGAACAGGCACACGTTATCCATAGAGCCGTTTTCCTAAACAATTTGGTCAATTGAGACCAGCGACAAATTCGACAAAAGTTTATTAATTATTTATACACTCACTTCGAAATCTTGTTTGAAAAATCGAGCCGTCTCCATGTTCACACCCATAGCAGCGAACACAATCGCAAAGTTGTCCTCGTGTCCGTCCAGCACTGATTTCCCTGGAAGTTGGACCAATCCGGCTTGACGACAAATCTGCGCAGCGATCTACACAGAAAACAGATATTGAATACTTTTTTTAAATCACACAAAATCAGTGGTTCTACACTTTATAATAGTGTAACTTACTTCATTATGGGGAAGACCAGCAGCAGAGAAAATTGGAATTTTTTGTCCACGAGCAATGGAATTCATCACATCAATAGCGGAAATGCCAGTTTGAATCATTTCCTCTGGGTAAATTCTAGACCATGGGTTAATTGGTTGTCCTGGAATATAAGAGAGAATGAAATACTATTCACCACGTAAGGTCACACACGAGGTATTAAATGTCTATGTACCTTGAATGTCCAAGTACTCCTCAGCCAAGATGGGAGGACCTTTATCAATAGGCTTTCCACTCCCATTGAATACGCGACCCAACATGTCCTCCGACACAGGTGACTTGAGAATGTCCCCAGTAAACTCGCAAACCGTGTTCTTGGCATCAATTCCGGATGTGCCCTCGAAAACCTGATAAATATTATTGCAAGTATATATGTGTAAATATTGTCCATCAACAAGCCCAAAAACGCCTTATTATTCTTACAAACTCCACCCACCTGAACCACAGCCTTCGACCCAGAAACTTCCAAAACCTGTCCAGACCTGTGGGTCCCATCGGGTAAGTGAAGTTCCACAATTTCTGCGTATTTCGGGAATTTAACGTCGTCCAAGATGACGAGTGGTCCATTTACTCCAGACACCGTTTTGTACACTGTGGAACCACAAGAAACATATCATTCTGAAGTACTCGTCCCTCCTTAACAATTGTATAATCCATTCATATTACCTGTTCTCTTAAAATTTAAACAAACTGGGCGTATAATAATAATAAAAACTGCTCACCTAATCTCGGTTGAGAAATATAATCCCGAACGACGGCCGCCTTATGGACCCCTCGGGCCTGCTCGGCAGAAATAGGACCCATTATTGACTATTTAGATCTTAACGGTTAAAGTGGGAGGAGGTCGTGGAGAAATGTTAATTATTATTATTCAAAATCCCAAATTCAGAGACAGCAGACACCTGTGTACAATGGATGTGGACTTGAACGAGTGGTGGCAGAAAACTCAGGTTGAGCCAACGCCCCGTGCTTTTACATTGAGATGCAAATGTGGGTATTGTGCGCATTCACTTGTCTAACTTTTGTATTATTTTGTCATTTAATCCTCTCCACATTGTAGTTAATACTTAACTTAACTAAAACTTAGGAGAGCATTACTATTACGAGAATTGGTCTCCAGTAATAACTCGTTCAGGGGAAGAATTAACGGTCATGAGGGAAAAATTGAGATTTGAAACTTATGATCGGTCAGCAATGCCTCACGATCTAAAACGAGATGATGGCATGACCTCGTGATTATCATCACATTAAGATTTAGACCTTGTCAGAATTGAGATGTTAAGTCGGATGTTTTAACTAAATGCATATGCATATGTATGGGCAATGGGATGTATAATACTCTAAGGTTCAAGTTTCATGGAAAATGGTACGAATTGAATGATTGTGTATACTTATGCGGTTTTTATTTTATTTCCATAATGTCACTTGCATGTCAAACAACATATTAAAAATCAATAAAACAACAATTCATCCTTTGTTTCTGGGAAGGGTCGTCACAGTACAATATTATTAGAGAGTGTGTGCAACGATGAACAAAACATTTTCATAAAAGACGTACGTCGGGGTGCGTAACAATAATAATAATAATAATAACATAATAATAATAAAGAGCAACAAAGTTAATCGAAAGCGAGATTAATTAATTAATTAATGGTAAACCTTAGTACTGACTTTGATAGATTACATATTTTTTGATTGAATATGGTCATCAAAGTCAAAATGCAATAAGTCTCTCTACTTTTTGCTAGGCACATATCATTATAACATCATTTATATATTCTCTCCTCTTCTTGGGCCGATAATTTCAGCAAATTGCATTTTTATAGTTTGCGATAGTCTGTCTATATATATTGTATATATGCATATACGTAGAATGACGACGACATAATATCTGCCCTAAGAAAATAGGTCAGCATCAGTCCAGGATTTGGAAGGAAGATTCTTATAGTAATCCGTGAATGCGACGTAGGGAGCGATTCGACCATTCTCATCCAAAGGTAGTTTATGATTTGACTGCGTTAGAACTTCAGAGCTTTCCGTGCTCGTAGTTGCTTCCGTATTTGTTGGAAAAGGGGAGGAATTACCTATAATTTTTGGAGACGGGATTGTTTCCAGGGTAAGATTTATGGGGGTTGAGCAGTCATTCGGATGTCCGGTTGTTGACGGGAAAAAGTAACCATTCATAACCTTCGAACTGCTTGGGGTTGTTGCATTTTTTAAAGGAATATTGAAATTACGGACGAGCAGGGTCATATCATCGCGACGAGTCACTTTGGGTAGCGTATTGCTCATATTCATATAATAGTCGTGATGCATTCGGGAGACTTTGTCCACTACGGCTTGAGCCACCAAATTGAGGGTAGACTGGGTTTTAAATTCTTCAACAATCATCTTTGCCAACTGGATGTCAACATGGTCACTCTCGGATGCTTCTCGGAGCGCTTGGTACAGTCCATCTGAGAGTAAAACTAGGAAACGAAATGACTCGTCCACCTTAACAGCAGGGTGGATTTCAGGATCAGGGACGACTGGCTCGCTCCTCGCGTTGCGCAACGAACGGAAGTCTTTATAGCCACCTTTAACCAAATAATTTCCGAGACAACGCGTATTCGTTTGATTTCCAATTTTTCCGTGACGTCGAAGTTCATCTGGGTTGAGACCGATGACATTCAATCTCTCGAGTTCGTCCTGATTACGAAGGTCGTGGTCCACACTGAGCTGGATGACTTTTAGGACGCCATCTTTATCAGTTCGGCAGAGTAGGGCTCTGCAGCACCTGAATATAACAAAACAAAAACACTGTTAAGATAAAATATATCAAATTTATTTATGCAATGAATATCATTAAATTCGCTTTACCCAACATTAGACACGTATAGTTTCCCGTTGAAAATTAGCGCTACAACGGCTGTCGTGCCTATTAAGAAATATATTAATTAATTAAAGCGTATTCACCACAAAAGTTGTGCTAATGCATTGCTGCAGTTCAGATCTAATCAAATGGTTTCGTTTTTGAAATTTATTCTCCCGGATGAACAGGAAAGTATCCTCCAGAGAGTTTTAGTTAAATTCAAATTAAAAAACTGACTTTGTTGCACAATACTAAATTGCCACTAAATATGTTTGCACGTACCCGATTCTACCTCCTTGTTCAGTTCCGCCAAGACTTGAGGATATTCTCTAAAAGTATCATAGGGGCTTTCGCCATATGTCATTTCGGAAATGTATGTCGCACGTTCTGCCAATTTAGCCCCGATCGCATCATTAAAGTATTCTCGCTCCACGGAGAGGAACGCTTGTCGTAATACTTCTCGCACCTTATCTTCCGTCGTCGCTTCAGTCAGCTGCTGATCCAGAATAATTTCCGCTGGAAAGAAGAAGAGAGAATCAACCACCACAGAGAGGTCAACCAACCTTGTTTTTCTCTCGCTCTCAACAACAGTTTTCCTCTCGTCAAACAAGTTTGTTTGGAAATTTGTTAAGTAGGTTGTTGTTTCTTTTTACTAGTTATTGATTGTACGTGCTTTTACCTCAATAAATCGTAATCTTACCTGGCATCTTTTGTACTACAAATTTTGCTGCTTGAGGACCAAAATGTCCATCAAATACACCGTAAAGACAAATGTTTCCATCATCCAACTGGAAATGGAAGCTCTCATCTTCCAACTCATGCTCACTCGTGCGGTGCCCGTCCCGGCGATATACTTGATTCTGTGCAAATCCTACACCTGTTTTTTTAACCCCACAATTAAATCAAGAAATTTACTATACAGAGTCCACCCAACCCTTCGAATATTTAAAACCCCACCTGTATGAACACAAAGAGGGATGTCATCCGTCCACGAGGTCCAGCTGGAGTCTGTCGGTGGGGGTTGAGGTATTCCCAAGTAGTCCAACTGTCCTCCCATATAGGAGTCTACATACGGTGGTCGAAACATTTCATCAAGGCCTCAACTTTCGCAACAACATTTTTGTGCACATTTTTTGTATTCAAGGGCACACACAGAGTTTAAAGTAAAAAGTAATGTTCTGGTTTTGTTTCAATGCAGCCTCCTCGTCCGAATAATCCGCTCTAGTGAGAAATGCGGACAAGGAGCGTTGTTAATCTTATATGGAAATTCGTCAATTAATTTGTCAGGATTTATTTTAACTACCCACTTACAAGTTCGGACTATTAAATTAATTATTATTGAGGGAGGTTGGGGTTGGATTCTTCATTCTTCTTGCTGCAATGTTGTTGTTGGAATGGAATAACTCTCTCTCCCACGTTCGAATCTCCCACCGCTCTCTTTGCCTAATTTTACACAAATTCATAGTCCAAATTATGCTGTGCAAGTAGTGCAAGTCAGTAATTATACTAATTGATAATATTTCTGTCGTCGTCTTCACATTTGACCTGATGCACCCCGTTATTTTGTAACATTCTTCCAGATTAGGTTTGAACATAGGAAACTTTTACCATTGCATCATGCATGGCTACACATTTACATGGAACGAGATTTTTCCCGTTCATCAGCAGCAGAAATCCAGATTAAACAGGAAGCATGATTATTGCAGACCAAGTTTTGTCAAAACATAATCAGTAGTTATTGTGGGTGGCATTGTCAGCAGGATTTGAGAAAGATGACATGACCTGACAAGAGGGCAAAGGTATTTAAGACTGCAGAGATTTCTTTCTCACTTTAAGTTCTCCAACATTTAAGTAAAAAACAATAATGTTCCGTTCGAAAGGGTTTATCTCCACCGAGATTGGGGGTGAATATATGTCCGGGAGAACGGTACTGGTTTTGTCAGCATTCAACCAACTCGTTACATGATGTGCACAATGAAGAGCAAATGAATGAAGAGCAATTGAAGAGCAAAGCATTGCAAGAAACCACTTTTTGTGCGCTGTTAGTGGATGCTTCGTTCAAGGTGCCTTTTGTAATGATTTGGATGGATCCATCTTATATCGCTGCTGCTCTGAATAGGAAAAAGAACCTTTCCCCAGAACCCCAGTAGAGACTTGTTTCGCTCAAAAGACACGTTTTTCTTTTTTGTGCAAATTGGAAAGCCTTTTCAAGAGGTTTTCTCTCTTTACCTAAGTCCACCCTCATCGTAAATAGTCAATCGGTGAAAGCAGGACATCGCGATAAAAAGTCAAAAGCAATCAGCATTAGTATTATTTGTTAGTGGTAACAAAGAATTCTATAGTACTCTTGGTGCAATCAGTAGAATTGCATTGCAAATTTGCACATATCAATTGACATTGTTGGTTGTTAAAAAACGTTGTAGAGTTCTTGCCACAGTGCGTGACACAAAAGACGTCACTGTAATTCACTGTATATTATCAAAATTAATCGTCGCAGCATAAATCTATTACAAATCATCTCACCGACTGCGTGAGGAAAACGTGGTTGCGATTACTGCCTCCTTGTCTTTATTAGGCAAGGAACAATTACAATCGTTTTTATAACGAGCTGAAATCCGGTTACCACACATTTGAATAAAAAAGATACATATAATAATAACTTTAAAGAAATAAGAAAAACCTGAGGAGAGAGGAGAAAAAGGACGCAAAGTCCGGTACCGTTGTCTACGGCAAGTCGCCGTCGTCACTCTTCACATATTCAGAAAAGCAACAATTTCTGTATTTTTTTCTTCTTGGTCGTAAACATGGCACAGTTCTGAATTCGAAATATGAAGCTGCCAACTCTCGTCGTTGACTGCCTTCCCGTGTGGAACGGGCAAACTTGCTCGAAATTCCTCCCCCCAACAAGAACCAATAACCTACCGAGTGAAACGATACATGACCGACGACCCCCAGCATCATTATCCATTGGCTGCTATGGACAAGAAAAACTTTGCAGCACTTCTGCCCAACAAGGCCAATCTGGACGGTGCTTCATCCGCTAATAATAATAATTGTAGTAAAACTCCAATTTCAAATAAGCAAGGTACACAAACTTTCTTCATTTTAAACATTCGTATAAAGTAATTAATCAAGGTGCTAGTACGTTACGTTTCTCCCATTATCGTGACGTACAAGTGAAAATATAAACCTTGGTATAGTAAACAAAAGGCTGCAATTATAGACTTTTCTGAAATTTCCCATTTTCAAGTTAAGTAGAGCCTGTTAGCCACAAAGGAATCCTTAATTGCATCAGCATGTCCAGTAATATGTCAATGTCATATCCAGTCCAGTTCTATCTTTGTGTTGCTATTGGATCTTATTTATTATGAAGTTTTCCCAGTTCCTCGATCCACTGCACTATGACAATGTGAAATAGTATTCGGACTTGTGTTGTAGAGGTCAGCGGTGAGGATTGTTGCTCATTTCGCTGTCCAAGAAAAATATTATTTCATAACACTTCCACAAACTGCTCGACTATTTTTTTATTTATTGGAACTATTTAACGCAGTAGTGTCAGCTTCAGACTTTTTATAAGAAAGTATCATTTCACGAGAAGGAGGAGCAGTAACAATTAATACCGGCAACAATGCACAGAAAAAGTAATACTAAAAAAGTTGAACCTGCTGTTGGCCTTTCAGATGGAGTTGCTTTCCCTAATGCCCGTGGAAAGCGTCGTGGTGGTGGTGGTGGGTGTGACCCGTCATCCCTGCCAAAGTCAAACAGTGCGAATTCTCTCTCGTCCCGATGTGAACCTCCCAATCGCAGAAACTCACCACAGAAAAGTAAAGGCTTGGACAAGAAACCTCGAGGTCGAGGGAGTGGCTTTGGAGGACCGGTAAGATTTATTTGCAATTTTTATCACAACTATCACAGCATTTGTATAATTTGTGTGGTAAAAAATTAATAGATGATTGATAAGCGAAACGGCCCCGAAGTGGGGTCCTTGCAGTCCCCTGGAGCAAAGAAACGTGACTGGGATCACCTCTTCTATTTTGCACCACGCGAGCGACGATCTTCCCCAAACTGTGTGTGGAAATCGCATCATGCTCAACGCGGTCGAAACGATTCGGGAGGCGCATCCTTAAAAAACAGATTTTCTAAAGAGAATTTCCTGAGGGCCAAGTAAGTTAATTCGTTTTTAACTTGACGAAAAGAAACTAAAATCTTAATAACTCTAAAATGTTGAATGTTTTTTTTTAGTTGCCAATTCTTGGTCAAGCAGTCTGATAAAGATTATGCACCATATTTTGCTGATCCAGACCTGTTGGTTGATTGGAATGATGTTGAGCAGATTGTAAGAGTTTTTATTAAAGATTACCTAATAAGGCTATTTAGCTGATTGGTCGGATCTTTATATGTAGGTTGTGACAATGATTGGTGAAGGAGCAAGCTGTCCAATTTGCTTGGGGACACCCAGTGCCGCAAAGATGACTCGCTGTGGTCATATTTACTGCTGGTCATGTATTCTTCATTACTTGGCTTTATCCGATAATGCTTCAAGGCCATGTCCAATTTGTTACGAAGCTATTGCCAACAACGATCTTAAGAGGTAAATTTTTAAGCAAATGAATTTCTAATCGTTTGCACAATTCATACTAAATAATAATATTTTTTACGTTAAGTGTTGTTGCTCACGTTCACTTCGATCTTGAGCTCGGTGACATAATTGACATGGAGCTACTTCGACGTCACAAAGACATGCTAGCCGTTGCACCGTTGCACTCGCATGAAGCAACCGAAGCATGGAATGAGTTGTATGCAAAACTGGTCGTCATTTCTTCTTCTGATGTATGATAATTGATGCTGAAAAATTATCGTCAATATTATACCGAATGAGATAAATAAACTTAATTGCCACATTATTTGTCTTTGCATAGGTAATGGAGAAAGTTGTTGATCGGGAACTACGTGAACTGACGGCATGCTATGATGAAGATCCAGACTGCCCAGAAGTTTGCTTCATTCACCAAGCAATCGGTGAACTGTCAGAAAGAAAGAAATCCCTAATGGTGGCTAACAATGCAATGGTTGACAAGAACCCAGATACTGCTATTCCAAATGAAGCACAGGTTAATACTATTATTGTATAAGTTTCTAAATACTTTTATCAAAACTTATGATATAAATATATTTTATTACTTAAACATACTGATAATGTTGTGTTTTCGATTATCTTAGGGTACTGTTGAACAGCCTGGTCAAGTTTCAGATATCACTGTCTCACCTGAACACTGTGACTCTGAGAAGGATGAATATTTCCACTTTTATCAAGGTATATATATACTCACTATATACCTTGTAATGTGTGTGCGAACTTCGATGTTATACTAGGTATAGTATTGTCGTAACCATTACAAAGTAAGTATGACGGCAAAGGATGCAAATCTAGAATAAGGAAATCTATTTAATACCTATCTAATGCCCTCCAAATTGTACATTTCTAATTGTGCTAATTCTATAAATTTATGTATAGATTCCAAGGGGCTCAACATCTTCCTGCACCCATTGAACTTTTCAATGTTGGCAAAAGAATTTGGCACAGAGATGGAATTTTGGCCAAGATACTTGTCCCTACGCGTCATTGACAAAGAATACTATTCGGCCAGTGAGGAATCACGAAAACGTTGGAAATTCTTGCGACACTTGCCACTTAGCACTCCATTCACCGTCGTTGAAGTCGACCTCTCCGAATTTGTCTCAGAGGAAGTCATGACAGAATTTGCGTCCCAGATTGATTATCGTAAAACTAGACGAACGCAAAGGGCAAAGGAAGAAAAGAAAATGGAAAAAATTATTGCTGAAAGGGAGAGGAAACTTTGGAAGATTCCTGTCGTCCCCCACGTACGTATACCATCACCTGACATAATATTAAATCTCATGTAGTAATGTATGCTACATGTATAATTATCGATTATGCATTATCTAGTTTGAACCAAAGTTGGATTTTCCTGAATTTTTGGATTCCGCTACTTGCGCTCTGGATCTTTCGGCTGAACGGCTGGAAACCTTCGACATGGTGGAATCACCACCTTTTGAAGGAATTCGTACAACTATCCCAACATCTTTCGCAATGGTGCGTTATTTTCTTCACTACTTTTCGGCCTGTACTTAGTTTTTAATGCTTTTGCCAGATTATCAGAGTTTATTTTTTTACAGATGGCCAGCCGAGCTCCTGTGCAAATGAAGAAAAGTCCCAGCTTTCCACTTGTTAAATCATCTGCATTACCAGCCAATCATTACGGATCTATACCTCCTCGCCGCCACTCTGACGACAGCGAGCCCGAGTCAGATCATGTTGCCGTTCCAGAGTTCCGAGAAAGCATGTCCGACGCTATTACGAAAGCCTTGATGGAGATTGTGTTTGATGAGAAGAACGATAAGAGTGGGAACAGCAACGGCCAGCAGCAAAAAAATAAGAAAAAGAAGAACAAAGGAAAAGTTCTATTCACCACTGGGATGGGATCATTCAACTAAATAAAGTTTTCTAGAACTATGATTTCAACATATATACTGCTACAATTACTTTTCAAGCTAAATAAGTACTATTGGAAACTGCTATTGTAAAATGATAAGTTATTATTATCATACGTATTTACTTAAATCACGACTCCACTAACTTTCCCATGTTCAATATAAAATGTTAAACAGTCCAGTATGCATGTAAACAAAGTCACCAAAAATTGTAATACATATTACATATATAATTTACACTGGTTTGTGTATTTATTAAAATTGCATGCAAAAGTGTATTTTATTTTCTTCATGGTATCCAAATTTCTTAGCATTTCGCCCAGTTCATAAGCATTCATCCGCTTAAGATCAAATGCAGATTTTATTATTACGGCCCACCGATATAAAAATGCTATGCTAAATAACATAAACTTTCGACGTACGCAAGGCAAAATAGTCAATACGATAGTTCATGCATCAAAAAAAAACATTTGCATTATTTGATCTCATTATTTGCGTTATTTGCCCACACAATGTCCTGTTGAGGGAAAGTTGAGACCACGAGTTGGGCAGAGAGCGGACTCTTTAGACAGATTTTAGTGTAGTAAACAGTAAACAGTGGAGTTCTTGACATCCATTAATCTTATCGTATTTGAATCAATTTGAATTTCATAGTTTGTTTCTTTATAATAATTTAAACTGCTACTGTATTAGTTCTTTTGGACTTGTATTAAGTATGTCGATGTACTAACGAGTGACTTATGATGTTTGGCATTGTTAGTAAATGTAAATATTTTATCTGCTGGACTCGAAGAATACTGATAAAACCCAAAACTCGTGAGTATATTTTAATTTGTTTATATCTTATGAATATCATCAAATCTTTAGAATTCACTAAGATCACTAAGAGTAGTATAGTTAGTTTGCCAGTATTCGATTAACAAAATGGACAAGAATAGAATAATTGGGATTGTCTTATTTTCTATTTTATTTTGTATTTTTGTTGCACTCGTGTACTTTAAATATCCAACCGACAAATTTAAGTGGATCGAAATTTTTACGTGTATAGTAACATTATTGATAGGACTTCAGTTTAACTTTATAACTAAAAATTGCACTCTACAAGGTTGATAAGTTAACAAGTATAAATAAGACTAAATTTGTATTTTATTTTATATTTTATATTGCAAAACAAACTCCTAATCCATCACAAACTAGCCCAACTCAAAACCCCGCATTAGACGAAGTGGTTTCCGCATTACGTAAAGACGTTTCTGAATTACGACAAGAGCTTTCTGAATTACGAAAAGATAATTTTGAATTACGACAAGAGGTTTCTGCATTACGAAAAGATAATTTTGAATTACGAAAAGATAATCTTGAATTACGACAAGAGGTTTCCGAATTACGAATTACGAATCAGGTTGTGCAATCTCCAGACACTCCCAAGACGGATCAAGTTGGGGATGAAAAACCCTCCTCACCTCAATAACTACATATTCCCTAATTCTTACCTGATATGGAGAAACTTTTAAAGACGATTGACTCCCTAAAAATGCCCTCCCTCACCAACTCTGATGCCAACATTCCTGTGACTATCTCCTCCGCCGTGGTGGCTGCAAGCGATGCTGTCAAGACAAAGTAATTTGATTGCCATACTTAAAAATTCTTATTGAAGAGCCGATAATGAAATGATTAAAGTTTTTTGATTTTTTTATCAGGAAAAAAGAACGAATCAACCATTGTCGTGCTGTGGCAGATGCCGTTTGTAATCCGAGTGTACAAAGCTTGACGGACTATAGCAAGGTGTGGTTGTGGATAAAAACCATCGTAATCTTGCACCACTATTAAACTTTGTATATATTTATATATTCAGATTCTAGAAAGTGTAACAGAAGTATTATTTCAACTTTGTAACGACCCTGATTCTGATATTAGACTGGTAGCTTCAGATTGTTTGAGTCGGATTGCTCGGGTAAGTGTTACCGGATTTGAAAGAAATATGTTTGATCTGATTGATTGTATATTGATTGTTTTTTTTTGTTTGTGTTGGTTTATAGACATTGAAGGACTCGTTTCAACCCAAGTTTCATATGGAGGTGTACAGGGAAATTAGGAAAAATCAGAGTCCGAGGTATTGGCTAATTTAAATGTGCAGTCGAGAGCAATGTTTATTGGTTTGATGGAATTCAACTTTCACTTTCTTTCATAGATCGTTAAGAACTGCTTTGAACATTTTCGCGTTTAACTGTCCCATGATTCGGTACAGAAATCAGACTTGGTTAGATTTGATTATAGGATTGCTTTTTTAACATAGTATTCTTTTGGTTTACAGACCACAAAAATGTCGCGCATTCTTGTCCAGTCTTCTTCCTTGTTTTGCTAAGATTTCCAAACGCACAGAAGAATTACTTTATGAAAATATTGCAACTTCGTTTACAGAAATATTCAAATATCTGGGACCATTCGCTCATGACAGCGAGATTAAGGTATGTGGTTGTTTTATACGTATGCAATAAATCGTTAGAATAACTGATGATATACATGATGATGAACATAAAGAATAACATTTGAAGCTTGATGTGCTTGTACATTACAGATATTGTGCAAAGATTTCATCGCAAATTTGGAATCAAATTCAGCAATAATTAGACGTGCATCGGCCACAATTTTAGTCGTAGTATCTCAGTTTTCAAAAAATCCTGCAGTCGCATTGACACAGTTGCTTTCTAAGATAACAGGTTTATTCATTACATTATGCTTCTGTATTAAATGCCACTAGGTTCGACATGAATTGATAAATTATAAATTCATTTTGCAGATCTCTTAATGCCAAGTTTAATGGAAAAAAGTGTCTCCGTAATTATTGGAGTTCTTTTATGCGTTAGGCAGTGCATTCCAAGAATCTATGCTGAAATTAAAAATGGAAATCTTCGTCAACCTTCTGCAGAGCAAGATTCTGCTGTTGCAAATCTTCTTCAAGTACAAAAATTTTTGTGACTAATTACTATACTTAACGTATAATTTCACTAGACAAACAAGTTCAAGGCTATTGTTTGTCTTTGTAGGTTTATGAAATGTGCATGATTCTATGCAATCATGATGACCATAACGTGATCACAACAAGTTTAGAGACGTTACAGCAACTATTTACTTTGCCGGCGGAACCCATGATTATCAAACTCCTCTCCCCCTCTGGGATTAAAAATAGTTTGGATGAGAAAAGTTGGAACGTTCGACAAATTCAAACTCCACCAATATCTAGTAATAACTCATCATTCTTGAAGAGGTAATCAATTGGTTACAAGGAATATTAATTTTTTGTTTTAGGCTCAGAAAACTTGGCGTTTTGTTCCGACGAGACGTCTAATTTGCTCGAGTCGGATCTAGACCTAGATTTGCCCAAGTTTCGAAGTATTGTTGCGTCGGATGCTAGTAGAGATGGGAAAGAATTTGACCCTGAACAATCAATTTCATCTTCCAGTCGTCGAGATTCAGATCTTTTTGTCATTGAGGGGACATTGAGTGGTAAGAATGAAGTTCTCATCATCACAATTACATTATTTTTTCATCGTATTATATATATATATCTTTTGTTTGGTTTGGGCTCAGTTTAAAATTGAGCATATGAAATTGTTGATATTATAGATGTTGGAAGTTCTGATGGTCTTCATCCGTCAGATGATGAACATACCGAAAATGTCCAATTAGAACCAAACTTGGTGTTGCACACATTTCCAGAAATACAAATTGGCTCCGTGTACGAGCAGAATATTCCTATTTTTTATTGTTCCAGATTTCTGGCTTATAATTTTCTACTATCAGGTATTAAGGAATTAGCGTATTTATATAAACTTTGTAAATTATTGTGTTCTATTTCTGTTAACAGGCCAAAAAGGTATTATCAGACCTGATGGAGAAGTTAGAGTTAGTGTAAAAGTCCTTGCAACAAATTGCATCGTAAATCTCGTCGCAATTTGTCCAAAAATCTTCAAAATGACTTTGTCCCACGTTTTGGTGGACGCGTGTTCCGATGGTGAAAAACAGCAAAAAATTGAGGATATTGGCATTTACGTTTCACATAGCGATCCTTTGCTTCGAGGAACCATTTACGTTTTGATTGGAACGTTTATTCAGTCGACCTTGATGAGCTGTTTGAACTCTCCTTTACCAGAGGATGTCGACTTTCAAAGCCTTACTACCATTCTTCGCGGTGTGAGTTAAAATAGCTTTACTAAAGATTCTTCAGCAATTAAGCCAGGTCTGTAACTTTCAACAAATTTTCAACCTTTAACAGGGGTTAAGTGACTCTTCCAATGTCATTGTAAAATGTGCTGTTTCTGGTGTAAGTGTTTGCTTACACACCTTAATGGCATCACCATCCCTGGTCAACTTGGGGGAAAGCTTGCTGCAAAATATTCTACAAACCACCGCTTCCAACACTTACTGGCTCGTCAAGGTAATTGTTCTTTAATTTATATTATAGTAATAAGCTAATTAATGAGATTTATTAAAGTTTTTAAAATGAACTACAATTAGGTTGACCTAGTTGAACTCCTGTCCTCAGTGGATTGGGGAAATCTGGACAACGTGGACGCCCTTAGGAGGAAGGCTTTACTTTTGTTTCTTGATTTTCTTTCCGATGAAGACTCTCGAGTTAGAGCGAGTTCCACGACCGCAATAATAAAGTATCTTAAAAAGTATGGGACACAAAACAAGAATAGCTGGGAACCATATCAGCTATTTTGCAAGGAGTGCGTTGCAAACAAAGTCAACATTCATCGGTCGAGCACACTGAGCAAAACCAAGAATGATTGCTTACAATGTGAAACTCCAAGCAGTCCAGATGTAATGGAGATGTTGGAATTTGTGTTGCACGAATTGGGACAAAGGCTCAAGAAGGCGGATAGCAAGTTTGCAGTGGTAAGTAATAATAAAATGCTTGGTGAAATTTAATATATCCACTTTTGTATTTATGTTTTTCTTTTCTTATTGTATAAGGCTGGTGTATATGCAGCATTATCTCAACTCAGCGATACTTTTGAACCTCGACATTTCAAAGCCACGTGGGGATGTATTCCAGCATTGTCAAACGTTCAACTACTGCTCAGTATTTGCATGGACACGTTACGGACATCTCCAGCCGTGTATGACCTGACCGTCCATCAGTCTATACTCTGTTTGGCTGGAAACTTGTTTGTCGCATCAGAATTTTACAAGGTCGGTCAAGAAAAGGAGAAGACTGCTGCTCCAGAAGGGATGCACCCGTTTCGTTGTCACAATAAACAAGTACATGCTTATATTTTTAAGCTTAGTTACTATTATTATATCTAATTAATAATACAAGTTAGTGACTGACCAATTGGAATTATGATCATTGTAGTTATCAATTTACGGGGTGCAGTTGCTGCAGCATTGCTTGGCTGTGATGAAACTTTACCAAAATGTGATTGAAAGTATAAACGCAACATCTCCACTTCGTCGACAGTCTACCTCACCAGTGATTTCTCCAGTTAAAAAGTTTTCACAAAAGTTGGAAGCTGAGAAAAAGGCTCAAGGTAAAATCGATCTACTTATAAGCAAACTTTTATACGTTCGTGGTTTCAGTTGTGTAAATCGTATAAATTTAATTATTAGAGTCTGAAAGTGAAAAGAAATCCAAAGGGTTGTCATTCTCGGAAACCGTTTGTCCTAACCATTTAAAAAAGTTGCATGATTCTATCCTACAATCGTATAAAGTTTACAAGTCAAGTCTGGACCCAGTTGTTGCATCCAAATTTACATCTGTAATAATAATGGCTGCTGTAACGATTCGTAAGCTATTTTCTTGTATTCGACCAGACTACCACGCAATGTCGAATTTGATTGAAGAGATTCTGAACGTTTCATCCGTGCTGTTCTACCTTTGCCCAGCTCCAATCATGCAAAACATTTGTGAAGTATGTAAAATACATGTAAACATGTTAGAGGTTGTCGGTTGTACACGTATTACATAAAACTTTAAACTTTGCAGATGTTAAAGTGTATTTTTTCCCTGTATAATCCGGACCCGTTTAAAGTCGAATCGGTGGATAGAATAAACACAAAAGGGGACGTTGAGGACTTTTTAAACTTTTCGAAAACTTACGAGAACACGTAAGTTGAATTCTTAATTTCATATGTATTTTAAGTAATAAATGATTCCTGTTAATAATCTTTGGTTATTTTGTGATTCATGGTATTTTTAGTCTAGTTGAAAGTCGATCCAAAGATAAACCGCCGGGTAAATTGATATCTGATAAGTCTTCCCTGGGGTCCTATATTCGCCAGTTCGAATCTGCTGTTGTAACTGCGTTGAGGGTAATTTTCCACTGTAGTTGTTAAAAAATTAAGCATGCATGCACACCTGTATTATTATTTTGAAGAGATTTGAGACCAATGTTTTGTACAGATTTATACAACGAGTAGCGATCCAGAAGTTCAGTCTGAAGTTTTGAGTCTTCTTGTCCAATTGATTAAAGGTCACGTCAACTATGGACTTGTAAGATAAATTTTAAATATACTTATATTTGTATGGATTAAAATATAGGGAGACAATCACGGGTGATGTTACTATTTGTTTTTAGGTCGATTCGAGTCAAGTTTTTTTAGGATTTGTAACGAAACAAATTCCTCTTCTCGAAGAAGGGCATTTGAGGTACAAAAAATAGTTCCATCAGTTTCATTATCATTACTTTCACTACACCATTTTCAAGATGATCTGTTTTTTCTGATAGAAATCCAAAGCTACTGGCCCAAGAAATTTTCCAATTCTTAACCATCCTCACTCACGAGTACAACTCTTCTAAAAAGTTTATTGACGTCTCCAAAATTATTAGTCTTTGTAACGGTCTAGTCTTTGGAACAGCAAATACGGCAAGTCTGGGTACGAGTTTATTATTGAACTAGCGTATAAGCTCGTCTTCCGCCGGGCGAGAGCTTATTTGATTATCATAAAAATTGAGTGAAATTGTTCATAATTCTACAGAATTAATTTTTTATTATATCTACATATAAATATATTAGCTGGAAATGTCTGTTTCGAGCCATTCGAAACTGAACTTTCTCCACTTTCACTTCCGTTTCGGAAAATTACTGTCAATTCCGTTGCCAACAAACATTTCCAGCTTATAATATAGATACTAATCAAAGAACTGCTAAAAATAAGATATTTGATGTTAAAATCTGAAATTGTTGTTAGCCTCACCTGCTGCAGAAGCCCTTCGATTAATTGTGCATGATTTATTCATATTCCGTGGAACGACAAGTCACACAAACCAAGAAAAGAAAGAATATGAATCTCAAAGGGATGCAGTATTTCTTATGGTTAAACAGCTTGATGGGCATCCTGAAGTAAGACTTCTAAATAAATATGTATATTACCTAAATATAGGATAAAATTTGTGACACTTTAATGCCAAAGCACTTATTTTACGTTATAGGCCCTGCCAATTATTTGGCTACTATTGAAGGGAAGAAAGTTAACCAATGAATCAAAATGGTTAGAGGAGTCTGGAATGTTTGCATCGGATATCATGGATCGACTGAAAGAAGGCCGAATGACAATAAATTCAACGTCTCAATTTAACAATTTGGTAGCTCTGCTCTACTCTTTTAACGTGTCATCCATGCCAAGTGAAGATGCCATTTCGCTAATGCTAAAGGAGGAGCTTTGCAAAACAGTAGGTGCTAAACTATTTTACAAATTCATGAAACTTTACACTAATGTTTGAGTTAATTTTAAACTAGAACGAAAACATGTGTCAATTCTTACGCTGGTGTGTTTCTGTAAATTCTTGTTGGATTTTATTAACTAAACGAATTGAAGATCTATCAAATGGTCAAATGTTGAATGAAGCCAGCAGGTTTACACAATTATTTACTTAATTATCTTTTACAGTTTTTCATGGCTCACAATTATTTAATGGTTTGATGCAATAGTTTGTTTCTTATCTTCATGGATAAGATATTCTCTGACTTCACCTCCGTTTTTAAAGATGCTATCCCTGCCAATTTCGCTATTGACCAGATTGGATGTTTCTTTAAAATCTCTGCCCATTTTTTAAAGTCAGGTAAAATCTTTATCAATCAGATCATATATTTATATATAAATATATTACATGTGTATAGAGCATGCAATAAATTATAAATAAAATGGTTTTGAGAAATAATTAGAAACTTTATTGAATGTTTTAGAGTCGTGTGAAAATACACGCCATGATTTAAGGTCACAGGATTGTGTTGCCAACTTTATGACAATTTCGAAAATTTGCTCCAACCTAAGCATCATAGATACGCGATTACGATTATGGATGGTGGACTTTTTAGCAGCTATCCTTTATCCTAAAATAAGTGTTTGGGAAGTATTACTGCGACCATCGCGTAGCTTTTCTTCACATGCACAAAGTCAGTGCGTCCTTAAAATTATCTGTGCTATTGTGAGTGAGACTGATTATTGTTGACATTTTATACTTACTAGAAACGAGAAATCAGTAATTTTTGTAATGCTTTTAGAATGACGGAGATGTTCCCACCTTAGAAGAGTGGATAATCGTCAATCAATCAAAAATTATTCTCAATTATATCGATCATCCTGATGTCATGTTATTTATCCGAAGATTAAGTACTTATAGGATGGAACAAATCTTGGACCAAATAACAATTTTATTGGACGCTCCAGTTGACGTAGGATACTATTCTTAAATATTTCATGATAAATTAACTAATCCATGATAAAATATGACCAATTCAAATTACAGAATAATCTTGCCCGTAATATTCTCAGCTATTTGGAACGTGTCGCAGACTCATTTCTCTGCGAAACTGCGATTTTATCAGTGAAGCTCTTGAAGCAGACGGACATTAGATTCTTGTCACTAGAAATGAGTCAATTTTGTTGTCATGCTCTAAGTCATATTCACACGCGGAAGTTATTATTCTCAAACAAGGATCGAGAATTTTTGCGTGACTATTACTCAGATCCTACTCTTATTAATAGGTTATTACACAGTCTTTGCTTAATCTTGAAAATATTATCCCATAATTATTACACACCTTTATGTTTCATTAAGTGAATGGATTTACTTTTTGTTTTATCTCTAGGCACCCAAGACTAGTCACACTTGCTCGTAAAGTTTTGTGCGAAGATGGCCCAAAGCCGGAATTTCAATCCGATCAGGAAGGAGGTGATCTTATTTTACAATGGTGCTCCAAGGACATTAGTGACAGCGAAGGGATTGCATTAGTCAAAATGTTAAGCAGTATGAAATATGCACAAATTACGGCCATCCTCAACTCAGCAAAGCTGAATACGTCCATACTTTACTATTGCTTTCGACATTTACGGCAGTCCTATCAACTGGTTAGTTTAACAGTGGGGCTAATAAATTTTTGTCCTAATTTTTAAATACCAAAATTGTACACATGTAAGTATATACGTACCAACTATTATAGGGAGTAGTGACGGCGGAGGATGTCTCAGATTTATTAAAATCGCAAAAACGCCCCGGTTTTATAGAAAAGTGGCCACTTCCAGTTGCAGCTGTTGAGCTAATTTTAGAAACGCTGGACGCATGGGAAAGCTTGGCGTCGAGATCTGAACAGGCAAATTATCAGAATACTGCAAAAATTTTAACAATCTAATAATATAATCTGAATTTAATATTGATAATGTTTTTGGGCTGCTGCTTAGGAAAATTATGGCGAATCTCTGTTGGAGAATCATTCCCTACAAACAAACATATGTCACATGTGGGCAGCGCTTACAGAAATGTTGTTATTGAAAACAGCAGCAATTAAACTTGGGGTCTCAGAGGATAAAGAATGCTGCAATAACTTTATTCCAACAGGAATTTTTACCATGTCCTTTCAAGTAAGTTATTGGCTAATAAACTAAGTACTCATACCAAACACATACTTATACTTGTAAACCTTTCTGCAGTACATGTCAACCAAATGTCAAAAAAGCACTATCATTCCATTTGAAGACCTGCGTGTATTTCTGAAATTTGCTGCCGTTGCAGTTTGCGATTCGAGCTTTTTAAGCTTTTTTGATGTCCGTGATAACCCTCCACACATCTTTGCATGCGTTTCTGCAGTTGGAAACATATTGAGGAAATTAGTTCAAGATTTACGAATTAACTTTAGCTTTAGCAATGCAGAAACAGGTACTTTTTGTATAAATAATGTTTAATATTCGTGTTGGGACATAAAATTCTATTTCAATTCAATTTGTTGTACTTTCACAGATGCATATAGCGGAATGAATGATGAATGCGTTGTGGTGCTGAATGAGTTTCACTATTTGATGGAATTTGTTCAAAGCGTGGATGAAGGGAAAATATATCTAGAACCTGAAATTTTCGACGGTTTACGGTAAGAAAATATTTTAGTTGTATTACTAATTAGTAGTAATTAGTACTAATGAATGTGCTATCATGTTATTTAATTGGCACAAGTGTTTATAAGTACGCTATTTTTTCGTTTGTTCAGCAATGTAGTGTCAGGACTGGGACGATGTGAACTAGTTAACGGTTGGATACTTGTTTCTCATTTGGGGTGGAGACCTCAAGCCCTATCAAAGACAAATATATTCCCCCCAATTCAACAGATTCCATTAGAAATACTTCGCAACGAAGCGGATATGTTGCTCAAATACATTTCAAAGTAAGCGAATTCAATTTGTAAAATCGTTGTTTCGCAATCATGATTTTAACTGTTTTATTTATAGGTTGAACTTATTGGGAGTCGCTAGTAAAATCCAGTTTGAAGAAAATTGGGTCATTTTCTTGTCTGTCATCAATTTATACGTCGATGAAACATTTCAGCTCCAGGTAACCGGCGTGTTTAAATTTAATGGCGTGGGATCTTGATGCGTGTTTTAAGTTTAATACGAAGTAATAAGCCTCCCATAGTATTGTAATCTATGTAATTGTTTTCCAGATCGTTACCACTGGTCTCAGGGCCCTTTCCATGATGCTCCAGCAATCCATTAAAATTAAGTGGTCATTCCCCTTTGTGTCGGAACAAATGTGTGTAGACTTATCCAAATTACCAGATTTACACAAGACAATTATATAAGACTATTTAATCATTAGGCGAACTTGTTCTCTAAAAATCGACTTTACTATGGAAGAAGTTGAACCTGAGTTATGCCGAAAGATAGGGATTCGCCATTTGTACGAAAATATTTATTTATAATCATAACAAATCATGCGATTTAAAGTAGTCATAAGTTGTAAGTACTTCCATTCTATACATGTTCTTTTAGGACTTTGAACACTCAACGTCAGTTTGAGAATGATCATGGCATTGATGTTAACTCTTGCATTCGATTCCTGACTGATTTATATTCGCAATGGTTACAGAACCCTCAAGTATGCATATAAATAACTTATTATGATTAACCAATGCCATTTGAGGCTATCACAAAAAATCATTATTGTCTTTACAGGGGAAAATGCCACTACACTTATTGAGTGAAGTAATTCAAAGCATAGTGATCATGGCCGAGTACTTTGAAGACGTATCGCAGTATTCTTGGGTACTGTTAAGTAGTATTTAGTCATACAATTATACATTGAATTCCATTACTTATGCTAAATTATTTGTTTTAAACAGATGTATGAAACGCTACTTGAAATTCATAAAAGTTTGGATAAGGAGGATGAGATCCTCTGGCCGCATTTGATGTACGGCTTGTTCTACTCTGCAGCTAAAATCACCCTGGTATTAATAACACTTACCTCTATTTCTATAATTGGTACAGCTGCATGTAGGTTTAATGTATTTAATAACTTCACTAATTTAATGTAATTTATTAAGGAGGATGATGCAGTTGCAAATCTTGTAACGACTTTAGAATCATCGCAAATTCATCCTAGCGCAAATATTTCAAATGTGAGTGTGCAATGTGCTTTAGTCTACCTACAAAGCCATCCGGATTGTTTACCCGTCGTCAATGCTATCTTGCCATATGTGTTGAAAAGAACACAGCTGGATGAAATGTAGGATTTTGTAAAAAATACTTTTCTGTCTTGTGACATAAGCTTTTTTGTAACACCATTAAGGCAAGCATTTTCTTTTAGGACGAGTGACTCTGAAACACATTGCCTCAAAGTGTGGAAACTTTTATTGTTTGTTTGGATTCATGGACCATCTGAAGGGCTCTGTGCACCTGACATTGAACAAGACACGCTTCGCAACATTCTGACGGTCTTGAGCCCATTGAACAAGGTTTTTGTTTCAGTTCGGTTGCTCGTTTTAAAGGTTTGTTGAAATTGCCTAATTTCATGAGCATGTGTTGTGTTTGATTTGTCCATTACATTAAAATTATTTACCAGGCTTTACAATTAAAAATCGAGAATGGAGCCATGAAACCAGACGTTAAGAAAACTATAACAAAAGTTACTCTAGAAACTTTACGAACTCCTAATGTTTGCATCTTCTTCCAAGCAGTGAAATTGTATCTCACCATATTTTATGATGGTATACCTATTATTATTATCCTTTCAGCATATGCCGTCAATAATTCCATTTAATAACTTATAAAGGATTATATATTTTACAGATTTCAAAGATTATATCGACAAATCAGATCTAGACGCTGAAGTTCTCATGCCAATGGCTGAAAGGGCTGACGTATTGTTCCAACAGTAAGTCATGTTTAACAATAAATACTTTTCTTCACTTATCACTGAGAAAGAATATTGCACTCCTTTTGCAGCTTACGGTCAAAGACGAAATGCCACAATCAAATCGTATCAAAAGTCCTCCCACTCGTGATATCAGACTTTTTACCCCCTTCGGAAATATTAAATAGAGTAATTGCGGAATTTCTTGCCCCGAGTCAAAATTGTCCAGAGTTGGTGGCTCCAACTGTTGCCCAAGTAAGTGCGGATTAGCATTTATTGAGTCAGTATATATGTACAAGTTAACGTATTATTTTGAAACAGGTTTTCGAAAAAGCGAAACGACGTCCAAAAGAAGCTGCTCTAGTTAGAGAATGGATTTTAGCAAGTCTTCCAAACTTTTTGTCAAATGCCAACATTTCCAGAGCTATGTGGAGTCTAACTCTGTTTTTTATTGGCGTCTCTTCCTCTCCCGATGTATTTTGTCTCCTACCCTTCGCACAGCTTCGACGTAACCCAAGCCAAGTACAGGAATTATTCGTCCATGCGGCAATCGACTTTTATATGAGTGTAAGATATGTTTATCTTTATAAATTATACCCCCCAGTGCTTGGCTACTAAATTCATGATATCAAATTAATTTCTATACTTTTTAAATTTCTTGGATATAGCTGGACGAAAAGAAGAAGGCAATGTTTAGAAAATTAGTGAATGAAGGCCCATCCCATTCTGATGAAAAGAAAGAAAAGAAACCATACGGATTCTTATTCCGCGTTCTAGACAACTTAGATCTGGAACAGGGTCAATGGGCGGTTGACAGAGTTAGTGATAATAATATGTAACGTTCTTATAAAACATTCCGGTGGTGCCGTCACGAAGTAAAACTACGTTCTCGTCTTTTAACATAAAAATATATACTTTTAGTCTGAAAATAATACAAAGTAACAAATAACAAACAAAAGACAATTTTAGTATGACATGAATTTGAGGACATTGTTAAAATCCTAGCTTAAGCGTGTAGTATAATAAGATGTCAATTTATTTTTATTCTGTAGTTAGCTAAATGAGTACAAAAATTGAAATATTCCTAATAAAATCCTAATATTCTTTATCGTTGTAATGAAATGTTGATTTCATGGCATTAGAAACCATTGTCCTACACGATTTACATAATGAACGGTGGGAAAAGTGAGAGCAACTCGTCAAAATCCGATTTGCTGAATCTGTGACTGTCTGCCAACCAACGGGTCTAACATTTATCCTTTACTTATTTAATTTAACTCGTTTAACACACAGTTGTCTACGCATATTAACAAAAATTAACTGTCGGCTCAGCAGTATTAAGTAGTGATTAATTCGTACCCAAGATCTCAGTTCCATATTGTCAATTGTGTGTCAAACCAATTGATTGAAATTAATTTTTTTACCGTCAATTAATGCTAGTTGTACGATGTTGTTTAGTTGACGTGAGACGTGCTATTAGACGTAAATAATAGTTTGGTCCGATGTAATTAATAACAACAAGAAATGGTGGACATGATACAAATGAGGGTTGTTGCGGTGCTACTTTTGCTAATGCTGGGTTTGGCGACAGCCGGTCTGCCTGGGAGTGGATCAGACCCCAAATCTAGTCGGCGACTCGCCCCCTGTCAAATCTGTCGGGTGCTGGTCACCTCTTTTAACACAGGGATTGAACGGACAGCGAAAGGTCACTACACAGGTATGACAAATATAAGGATGCATATGACTAATTTAAATGAATGGCATTGTAATTAATTTTTATATGGTTTGTTCAGGTGGCGATTCAGCTTGGGAAGAGGAAAACAAAAAAACTTATAAAAATTCCGAACTTCGATTGACAGAAATCCAAGAAATGCTCTGTTCCGAAGTTTCTGTGGGCAAAGATCACGTAAGAATGGAACGAAGAAATAAATACAATTTTATATGACTGATTATCATTCGTTTTGGCTTGTTAAAGTGTCACGAGTTCCACATAAATAACGAAGACCTTCTGGAACAATGGTGGGAGGAAGTGTATCGCTTTGCCGGAGAAGACCTAGATAGTTGGCTGTGCATTAATCAACTCAAAGTATGCTGCAAAGATAATCATTTTGGGGCCGAGTGCCTTCCCTGCCCCGGATATCCGGACAGTGTGTGCTCAGGTCACGGCAAGTGCAAGGTCCGTAAAATATAAAAGAATCGACGACTGGGTAATTTAGAAACATGATAAATTACTTGGCACTGTTATTGAAATTTTTAAAACTTATTTAAAGGGCAACGGGACAAGAAAAGGGAGCGGACAGTGCAGTTGCGAAACGGGGTATGCTGGAGAACTGTGCGAAACTTGTGCACCATTATTTTTTCAAGGTCAAAATGACGGTGAACCGATTTCTTGTTCAGCTTGCCACAAGGCATGCAAAGGGGGGTGTAAGGGGTCAGGGGCTAAAAGTAAGACGATATACGCAACCGATATTCATCTGAACGTTACTTATTCTAAATGCAAAATTGTATGAATAACAGGTTGTGAATCTTGTAAGGAAGGCTGGGAATTTGATGAACAACTAGAATGCATTGATGGTAAATAAAAAAAGCATAACACAAGTCTAAAGTTTATGTGCATCAAAATTTATTTTTTATCCTCATAGTTAACGAATGCCTTTCGGAACAAAGAAAGTGTAAAAACACAGAATTTTGTCAAAACATGGAAGGGTCGTATTCCTGTCTTGCATGTGATTTCGCTTGCAATGGGTGTTTTGGAGATGGTCCGGATATGTGCGAAACTTGTGCAGAAGGCTACACCAGACAGGGCAAGATTTGCAAGGGTGGGTGAGGGAAAACATCACCTATTTGCATATTTATATCCTTAATTTAATCTCAGTATACAGTTAATAACTCACCTCTTTGTGCATTTTTTAGACAATTCGATTGTAGAACGTCAAAGCCAAATGAATACCACGCGTTACTTGACCTACTGCGGCCTGGCCATTGTTTCCCTCATCGTGCTCCAAAAAAATGCAGCCCTGGCTAGCGTTATCGGTGTATCGTTCGGAGTTTACATTGCTATCACAGAATATTTGCTCACTGGATGACCTCATGGGATTAATTGGTTTTTATAAACTTTTATGACTATAACCAAGTAGTGGTAAAAAAATAAAAGTAAAAAAATGTATATCTAACACATATTTGCCCATGACCATCATTTACAAATTTTGCATAATTTGCCAACTGTATATTTGTCCATGCCCATCATTTGCAAATTTTGCATAATTTGCCAACTGTATTTGCATTTTGTCCCTCGTACGTTTCTAACACTAATCGTTACACACAAATGGAAATGTTCAATGTATCAGCAAGAATATGTACTTTTTGCACTTTTAAATTTTCAGAAAATAATTTTTTTAAACTCCTCAACATATTATTTATTATTATTAATTATTAAACATTATTCACACTTATATTTTTTATTTAGTGTCTTATATAGCACATTAACGAAAATTTGACAAATAGTTATAACTAATATTACATTCAGCGAAATTCATGTTTCCTAATAATAATATTAACTCAAAGAGTGTCAAAATGAATCCTTTTCCATGACCGCGTCTACCAATAAGACTGATGTTCAATTCCTTTCGTAATTACATATAACATTATCATAATAATTAGTAAATCATTCATTTTTTTGTACAACATGGCAGTCAAACACACGCCGTAACTGAGGTCGTAGTGAATATTATAAAAATATGTAGTTTCCTCCTAGTTAAACTTTATAGTGGTGGTCAGATCGGCGACACGTTTTGAAGTTTGGTTTGGTTTTTTAGCAAATGACCAGTGGACGTAAATTATTTAAACTAAAAACTCCGTATGGTGAATTACATGGTTAAGTAAATGTGGGTGGGCGCATTCATCGCATCCCTTTTTGGTCTGTTTATGGTAACGATCTCGAAAGCTAAAACGTTTCACTGCCTTCTTGCACTTGCCATCAAATATGTACGACATTCATTACTATAACCTGTTGATAATATCAAAGTGTAAAGCAGGGTGCAGGTACAACCGACGACATTCTAAAACTATGTATGTCTGTAGTTAGTGAAATGTAATTCGTAAATCTAGAAAGCTTGTATGTAAATATGTGGATGAAATATTTGGTAACTCATCTAACTGGTTAAAATTTGAGATGCTGATATACTTACATATTTATAACCGTACGTCAATAAGTGCTATTTATTACAGACTACTAATAATAAAACGTACTTCCTTCCTACGTGTAAGCATTCAGTAATTCATTTGGAGGAGACCATGAGCTCGTATATTATTATATGCTAACTTAATTGATATACAGATTGATATATTGTAGTTCAGAAATTCAACTAATTTTTCGTATGTAATCTAAGTGTGGAATGATATGAGAGAAAGTTGTTGGGCTGAAAGTCCCTGGCACCATGTCATATCATCATCATCACCGCCCCATTGACCAATTTTCTTCAGTGGAAACACCTCAGTCGAAATAATTTGATGGTCAAAGGGCTGTTGGGGGTGAGAGGTCGTAGTGAAGTGGGGACTGGTTGTCGTGAATAAGGGTCATGTGGTGGGGCCGATTTTGAAGGTGCTGCGGAACTTGGCTCGCTTGTGGGTGGTGTGGCGGTGGGGGGCAGATCGCGGTGAGGGGACTGCGCATCATGATCTCCTCCGTGGTCGGACAATGCGGTCGTGGGCCTGGTTCTGGCGTGTAGGTGAAAGTGAGTCCCGTGGCATAGATGACTCCATCACTTCGCACAAGGGAGACGGGGACTTGGGTGGGTTGGCGAACCCACAGCCATTCGCCACGAAAGGCGGAAATGTCGGGGACGACGCAGAGCATGCTCTCCTGACAACGGAACATTGTTTCCGCCTCAACGTCGCCAAACCAGACGCGTAAATTGGGAGAAAAGTTTTCACCCGTCAATTCCAACATGGCGACGTCTCCACCTCCGTTGAGCTGGAAAAAGTTTGCAAATTTAAGTTATTTTATTTGAATTGTACCAGAATTATGCAATGTGGGGAAATAGACTAATAAGTGTTTCACTTTCGATATAAAAATATTATGCAGTAAACAAAGCGTGGTTGTTTTGTGGTTAAGGACGCCGTGTCACAATTATTATTATTCCTTGACACTGAGAAGGCGGCGATGATGGTGTGACTCATATATTTAGCAAACTACATTTATTCCCCACCACCGTAGATGAAGCCAGGACGACTACGAGGACGGATAAAGAAAGGGAAGTGGATGGCAAGAGTGGTTCGGAATTTTCTCAGGTGCAGCTGAAAATTCGGTAAAATATTCCCAGTACAAGACTAACCACACCACAACGAGGCGACCTTGCTTATTACTTTACCCACATTTCCTACATTGCTTGGCTTGTATCACTTTCATTCATCAGATGCAAGTGAAAATTTTACCCGTATTCCCCATCACCACTTACTTATTATTACTTTAATTCCCCACAAATTGATGACGCCAGGTGTTAAATCCCATCATCTAACCTTCCACAACAAACAGCAAAACAAACTGTACGACTTGTACGTACGTACAAAGCTATGCTAAGTGAGTGGGTGGGTGGGTGTTACATTTTAGATGTGCGTAGGTTCTACTTGTTGAAGACCTCCGTTTTGGATGATTTACACCATTATCACATATTTACGACACGTGTCAAACGCGTGCCAAGCGAATGCCAAGTTGCGTTATCCATCTTTGCAATTCCCTGTTCATTTCAACCACTTATTTCCATTAATAACTAGCTTTTAAACATTACAATGACTTACATGTAGACTATGAACCACTGGCACCGGCGTGATTGGGCTGCGAACAGGTCCCATTCCCTCGAAAAATTGGTACTCTGCTTTATCCGTGCTGATGATTGTCCACGACGCTCCGTCATTGATCATCTCCTTATTCGGCTCCTTGGGACAAGGGGTTGCCTGCGTGCGGAAAAATAAAACAAAATTGTAATGATGTCTCCAACAAATGCATATTGTGTGATGTATGCGCAGGTAAAAAAATACGTACTACATATTAGTTTTCAGTCCTGATTTTTTATACACTCAAGTTTTCACAATGAGAAGGATTTGATACTTTTTATGATACAAGAAGTCAAAGTCAGGCATAATCTCATCACAGACTAAAAGTACGTTTCATGGAACGTCGGGGTGGTTAACATCAAAATTTTCGCACGGTAAATCATCATCAACTACTAACATCATCATCATCATCATAAAAGGAATGGAAAAGTTATGCCACCGTGTGTATTACCAGCCATTCCATTTCATGACGGTTCATCTTTCGAAATAGTCGACAGCACTGACTGAGTATCGCAGCGATGCTGCTACTGCTGCGATAATCAGCTCGTTCTTTCCTGGTCGTGCAATTTAAAATTGAGAATAATGGTTACGCAAACTAAGACGTCCATCCTACGACTCAACCAAACAACACGAAGATGAAGAAAGAGCAACGGACTTTAGGATGATTCGGTTCGGTCTTAAAATCTCTTTCATTTCTGCAACTTAAACGTGAAATATCCTCAACAACTTGATGCGAAGGCGTAATTTATACCGACTACAGAAGACTATGCAAGATGAATGTGTTAATTTTTGAAATCTGAAGGAATATATGTAAGCAAGTCCTTGATTCAAACTTTAAACTGGGAATACTTAAGGAAATAGGACTTGTGTCGTTAAAGTGTTTGATTGTCAAAATCAATTAGTTGTTACTCTTTGAAGAGGAGGTTGGTTGGGGTCTCGTTCGCATGAAAAATTGGGCCAAAATCAAGCCTTCCAAACTAAACTTTGAAAAACTAAGTATTTTTCCCCAAACTGTCCCCAACTCCACCAACAAAGTGACATTAGTGTTGTGGTCGATGACAAATAATTAATGAACCTCGTGGGTTTTTCGTTCATTGGATCAGAACGTCGCGTGACTTAATTTCAAAATTGCCTGCCGTGATTGAGCTAATCATCGATATTCTCTCCATTCTGTCGATCAATGATGACTGTAAAAGTCACAGGAAGGAAGCGCTTTTGACTTTGGAATGTGTACACGTCAATAAGCAACCAAATGTGACTCAATTCCCCTCCTTTAGAATAATTCAACAACTTGTGGTTGCAATTGTTCTCTAATAAATCAGTGAATTGTGCACATAGATATATGAAATCCCATCAGACCCCAAAAATGGAATAAATCGACATGCGAACGAAATGAATAAACTAGTTGACTGACTGACATAAGCTTTCATTATAAATGCACAGCAGCAGCCGCACAATGGTCAATTCCATAGCCGGACAAGTTGATGGGAGGAATAATAAAGTCTGGAATTAAGTTCTCGAGTTCATTGCTAAAACAACTTGGGCTATAATGACACGCAAAGATATATATTTGCTATATTTGCATGGTATGAAGCTTATATACGTATACTTTTCCATTCTTGACATGACTGACTCTGAAGGCTCGTGTTTCTGCTGTGATTGAGATGCATGCAACCCTTTATTTTGGGAAAACAAGTCAATCGGCCTGACCACAGTCTCACAACTAATCCAAAATGAGACAACCTCAAGTTCATTAAGAATTAAGTGACTGGAAACACATTAACCGTAAACAGAGGGAGACATATTTTGTCATCAAACTATAAAATTAAGCTTGACAGTGCTACGTGTGGTGGGACATTGTGAGACCCACCATCCCACCACTATCGGAGCTTTTAATAAATACTACGTAATGTCAATAGTTGAAACTTGTTAATTACCTGAAACTGAATAATCCTCTCCTGCGACAAACAGAGATACATCCTCTCCGTGTCTTTCATGTAGAATGCACACTTGTGAAGTTGAGACACTGGGTCGTCAGCATCCAGCAAGGCCATTTGCTTGTCAACCTGAGAAGAAACACGCTTCAAGTTTAGTTTTTTTTTTTGCTCCAATAATCAGTTGGACCACACTTTTTCCACGTCCCCGCAGCAAACAAAGCTGCCAGAAAAGTAGTCAAACTTGGGTCCAAAGTTTATTAGGAAAGAAAGAGAAATACGAAATGCAAAAAGTAAAACATTTTCGGCCCACCTTTCTGATAATGAGACGAGGTAATGCCATCCCACTGACGCTGCAAACCAATTTCACCGTGCTCCCGTAATGAATGTAGCCGTCTCGCACGGCAAACTCCTCGGACTCTGACTCGTTGTCATCTACTGTGTGGGGACAAGGAGAGGGTATTATCAGAAATGTGTTGAGGAAAACAAATGCCCACCAACGGAAGGGTGGTGAAAGCACCACTCTTCTCACAATGCCCACAAAGGCCTCTCCGTCGGGTTGGGCGTTAATTAAGGAGAAATAATATCAAGAACGTACACAGATGAATGGTGAAAGCTCCCCATTGTGTAGAGGATGCGTGAAAGTTGCCATTCTCTACATGCAAATAGCGGGTGCTCACAGTCTGCGACCGAAGTCGGTTGAACAAGGCAACTTTTGTCCCACTCGCGATGCACACTGGGACAGAAAAGACGCATTGTTATGGATTTCATTATAGGAAATAAATGACCAAATTTTAGACGAGGGGTTGAGCTTACAGTCCGCATTCTTGAGGGACTGCTTCTTTTTGGATGGTTTTGATATCACTTTGATCCGCTTGCTGTGAAAGAGCCCGATGTCCTGTCCGTTGCCGTAAAACATTTTTACCGAGAGCATAAAGTGCTTTCGCTTATCCGAATCTGATATGTACAGAGTTTTGGCTGCACAATATGACTGAAAGCATACACACATAATTATAGTTGGCCTTACATCCATACGGCAAATTCATGGTTATATGTACACAAATACAAATGGTTAGTCTCACTTTGCCGTTAAGGTCCAGTTGTTGCATGTCCTGGTCAGAATTGCCAATACCGATGAAGGCACACAACTGGGCCCCTTGTTCACTCTCCCCCTCCTTCAGTAGCTGCTCTCTCTTCCTCCGCCACCCATCCCCATAAAGATAGATGCAGGGCGGGGGACAGAAAAAGCGCTTCTCGTTCCCATACGACTTTTGCGCAACTTTGGCATGCTGCACGACCAAAATCATGTCACCGCGGTCTCGCAAGTATCGCTTCATTGAATCCCTCGTCAGCCTCTGCTCCTTGCCGCGGTACAAACCTCCGCTGTAAGAGAAAAAAAACCGGGTCGTCAAAAGAACGGGAGCGTACCTCCCACTATTGGGAAAAAAGTGGGAATTGTGGGAATGTGAAAAGTCACCTATTGACATTGCTGAAGTACCTGAATCGCTCGAAGGGCACGGGTGGCGATGGCGTCGGGAGTGGGGACGGGGGCGTGTGATGGAGCAGGGCGCCATGGTGCGGGAGGGCAAAGTGGGAGGGGAGGGAGGAGGGTGGGGTCATGTGACTCAGGTGGTGGTGGTGATGGTGATTGTTGTGTGGGTTGTGATGATGCATGGGATCCCCACCATTCATCTTCTCCGGTGGTGTGAGGGAGTTAGGGACGAAGCCCCCACCACTGCTGTGTGGGTGATCTGTGGATTAGAAAAGAAATGAGATTTCAGTCGTCCGTGAGTCAGCAATTCTCAATGAGCAGCCACTTAAAAAATCTCATTCATTTATTGGGAAATGCGTGAAATGGAGTTTGGTGGTCATCATATCCATTCATCGTCATCATCATCACCTCAACTATGTCATTCATCCCGAACCCATGGCAGGTCGTGCATGTCTTGATGGTCATGGGCAACAATGGCTTTTGGCCGCTCCACGACTCTCCTCTTAACGCCAGGAGGAAATAAATCCTGGAGGATTTCAGACTCAGTATAGAGCATTCCATAATTCCATACTCATTCATGCTCCCCATGGGGCATGAAAGGAAGCCCTGACACCACCCACGACACCCAGTTTCTCCCATTGCCCCAGTCTGATCCCTGTTGTCTATTACTACTAAATAATGATTTGTCACTACACACATGCTGAAGCTGGCCTATCTTTCTCTCTCTCTAGCCGATAAGCCCCACAACGTTGTTGCACCCACTTCCCCATCATCTTGTCTGTCTCCATCAGTGATTAGGAGTGGAAGCTCCAACCCTGTCTATGGCTTGAATTCATTAATGATTCCGCAGAGGAGGAGGAGAAAATAAGGCAAAATAGAGAGCGAGAGAGTGTGGGACGTGGAGAAAAAGGTGAATCAGCTCCAAACCAGATAGGATTCGTCGGAGAGAGAGAGCGGTGAAAACACCTGGACTTTCCCACGAGCACAAATTCATCACAATCTGAATCCCATCCCAGTCACCTAGCTCCGAGTTCTTCTCCCATCCACGCGTACTTTCCTTCCACTCTTTCCGTTCCTGTTATGTTGACTGCTGCGATAATACCACGACGATTGCTTATTCCCTTTCCCTACCACCAGATATGATGTTTCTTTCTTTCTCTCTCTCCTCGCCACCATCCACTTCCGACACATTATTATTGCTTCCTAAATTTATGGCAGAGAGGCACCGAGGAGGCTCATCCAACTACTTTTTGACCACTTCTTCCTCTCCATTTACGCAAAACAAGTGTATGTCGACTGGACTCCATCTAAAAATATCAGCCAGCAACAATTTGATGCTTTATTGGGCCCGTGCAAGGCTCCACTGCACACCAAGAACCCCACAATAATGCATATCATTTCAGCCAGAACAACTTGTGTGCTATCCGCTGTTGCAGCTTAAATGCACTTATTTCCCCTCAAATAATGCTGCGAGGAGGAAATCGATGCTGCTTCTGCTTTGTTCAAGTGCAACACTATTGTTGCTTCATCATCAACAAAATTTGCAACGCATTAAAAACAGTTGGGCTCAATTGTACGTGCTGATGGAGGAGGAGGAGGCAGAAAAACTTACATGAAAATTATGTAACAAAGAGCGAGACACTGCAACACATACATCAAAAACGGATTGAATAATAAGGCACGACAAATAAAGGGATTTTGTTGAACCCCGTCATTCAGTTACATAAATGGTTAACCCACTCATCTGCAGCCTGTGCGAGGGTATAAATTTAATACACATTGTATAATAGCACGTAAGAGGCATAGGCTGGCAGTCAGTTGGGCTCAAGGGCTCCATTATTTGCGTAACAAAACGACGAGTGAGCAAATATCAGTAGCAGCAGCAGCCATGTAGATATGTACTTACTGGAGGAAAAGTGCTTGATATTTTCTTAATATGATCCGAAAATTGCGAGACGGTACGTGATTATTGTTAAGCACTGTGTACATACACCTCTTCTATTTTCCATTGGCCACTTCAGGTAAGCAGAACAAAGACCAAACTAGTTTACTTTACAACAAAGTCGCGACCTGTTTGTCTAATTAATAAGCTGATTCTTATGCAATATACTCCCACGACTATCAACCACCCCAATCTTGTTAAAGTACAAGTTTCTACTTATTTTATTGCAATCAGCAAAGGCACACCAACTTATAACTTATTGCTTGTTAAATACCTCTGCGACCTAATTCTGCCACTGGTATTTACTAAGCATCCAACTAACTTGCAACCATTCTGTTTAACGAGTACCCACCTAGAATAAACAGATTCCTTGAGCTACGAGATTGATAAACGTCGCAAATAAATTATGACATTTTAAACCAAGTATTACTTCAAAGACAGGTCTGTTCCACAATATATAAGCACCAGTCCAACATATATTCTTGCATTATACGAACTAAACTAAATATTATGTGCCCAACTCGTGAGAAAATTCGCTCATCGCTCTTAAACATCATCTCAATTGAATAAAGTTCGACGTAAAAGTGAGCCCGTGCAGTTAAAGGCAAACAAGTTTTCAATATACTTTCGCTTCGTCGTTTAAGTATAATTGCCAAGAGGGAAGCTACCCAACGAGCAAAATATCTATTTCTACACAATAACCAACAACTTTTTATGTACTAAAAGTATGAGGTAGTTTAATAAATCACGGTTGCAACGCATGCAAAACATGAAGCGTTGCAAAATGGCTAAAAAACTGGCATAAAACTGAACAAGGGTTGAAATATGTGCAACAATGCCACGTGGTTGATTGTTAATACAGATTTTGCTATCCACTAATCCAAGTTGACTTTGGTTCCACAATATAGATTATTATTATCACACTTCTTTTCCCGCAACTCAGGTTTACATCATGATAAAAAACATGTTAAAAAAATGATAAAGTCGTAACACTGCAGATGATCACCGTGAAAAAGGCCGTCACATTTTCCAATGCATGTGAAAAGTTGTCCGCAAATTTCTCAATGCACTTGCCAAGAATCGGAATGGGTCTCACAGAGTGCATCATACTACACGACGACGTCTCACCCATTCACGCCGGATTCTCGTATAGCCACCGCTCATAAGAGTATCTAACAGGAAGGAGGATGGGAAGAATATATATCGAATTACTGCGAGTTCACGGTCCAACTTTCTCTCAAGAATGGGCGTATGCGTACGTATGTGTGGCTGGAGTTTCTCTGGATGAAAAATGTTGGTGAGACCAAAATGCGCCACGCCGAAGAAGAAACCCATCGGGCCGAACAAGTGAATCTATCTGAACATATATACCTTAGAAAAATAAAGCAGACTCACTCCTTCCTCCATCCATTCAATTTCCTGATGCATTTTCAAAGTTAGTGAGTGAAGAAGAGTATTTTTTCAGCGTTTCCAGCTTCGGGAACGAAAAACGACTCAGTGTCAGCTGGCAAGTTCCCATGAAATATCAACTTTTCCTTCCTTCTCATTTTCCCGTCTCTCTCGCCTTTCTTCTGCCCGACCTCAGGCCATAACCCAGCAGCAGCAGCAGCCGAACTACGGCAATATATGGTTGGACAGTTAGTTCTGAATTTCACCCGAGAATGAAGAAGCGAAGGTGGATGGATGACACACAAACAACAACCACCAAGAAGATTCACCAGCAAAATTCTCTCAACAACAACTTTTTTTTTTACTTGGAATGGAAAAAAATGAGCTCTGAAATAACCAACTTTCCATTTCCTTCTGCTTCCAAATTCCCCAGGAAGTTGGGAAGAATAATAATTACCCGACTCTGCGTCCGCTTCTCATAAGTAGCTCTAAATTACGTCTCTTACCTGCTCCTGACCTTGCAGCCTTGTGGATGTTATACGGTGAGATTGGGTAATGGGCGTAAGGGGCGAATTGATTGGTTAAAAGGGTGTGGTGGTGATGGGGTGGTCGGAGGAAGAGTCGCTGTTGCGTGGTCGGCGGACTTGTCGAATCTTCCTCCTCGTACGACCGGGTGGTGGTGGTGATGGTGGGGGCGTTATTACTCGAGGGGGTGGATGTGGATGTCGACTCTGAGCCGTGATAAGCACCAGTCTCTCTGATGGCAAGTGCAGTACTGGGGCTATTGTTCGTAATCGTAGTGTTATTATTCGGTTGTGGAGAGGAGCTGCCCACACTGCTCCCACCAGAAGAACTGCTCTTATTACTGTGGGAGGAGGTGGGGGTGGACGAACTGGTCGTGGTGGCTTCAGGCGTGGGTGGGAGGTGATAGTAGGGGTGGTGGTAGTATGCACTGTACTGACCCAACCCCCCGTAGTGGTGATGACCGTGATGTGTCGATGGGGGTGCGGAATTCAAGGACATGTAGTTCATGCTGTGGCGACCCACGCTGCACGAACAAAGTACGAGAGTGACCACCTCACTCACTTGGTCGTAAAGGAATGTACGGATTGTTCAATCACTTCTTGAAGAGGATTGCCAGATGACCACACGATTCCCATTGCAACGAAACACTGTGAGGTCAGCGTGTTGAAGAGACTCACTTGTAGCTACATATGTATATTGTAGAGCGGAAATGTTGCGCTTGTCGTGTAACAACAAGTGCACAAATCACAATGGATCAGAAGGATGATCATACCAACCGCTGATTTCCCGATTGTACGATATTGTTATCTGATCTGCCGAAATATCTTAATATGGACAACATATTAATGTCAACAATCAAAGTATTTGCCTACAGTTGAAACTGTCCAGATCTTAAACTGTGAGAAGGATGATGGAGAAAGCTGAATCTCTTCTTGCCCCGTGTGCTTAAAAAACAAAGGCTTTGTTTCACAACTTGACAAGTGTTGCACACTCGAGTAGGAGCTAATCACCATGAAAATGTGTACGTAGCAAGGAGGGCGGTCGGTCCTGCTCCTACTCACTCTTGAACTTGTACTGATAGCGCCTGATACCCGGGTACCCCAAGTAATAAGTCCTCTCAAACCGGGACTTGCCCAGATTGCATGCCCATCGCTATCACTACTGCCAACCAACTAAAAAGGGTGAAACGAAGGCAGGCAGCCAGCCAAACTCCGTCATGGGCCTCATTCTACCAGCATCACATTCTTTAGCAACCAACCAACCCAAATTAGAAGCATGGACTCAATTCAATACAAGACATATGTAGCTGGCCATCATCCTGTCACCCATTGTCAATCGTCCACTGACACTCTAATAATATGACCACCACTATCAATCCTTGAGGAAAGAAGAGAAAGAAGCGATTAAAAAATCCGGGTAGAAGACGGTGGAGAAACAGTGGCAAATAAATACTCGCTGCCTTGCACCACCACCAATGGAAAAGCGGTTGACTTGGCTCTTAGCTTTTCGGAGTCATTCCCATTGCACATGGCACATCCTCCAAGTGGGAGGCTCCTGCATTTGTTGGTCTCCAGAAAACCTCGGGATCTCCCGATTTACAAAGATTCGGCCAGCCAACGAGCTACTACCACGGATATGGAGGAGTCAATTGAGAGACTGGTCAGGCAGGCTCGGGATAACCATTGTCCGAGGTTTTTATTACTAACTAGCATGCCACCCATTGTATCGTGCCCATACATCTCATTACGTATTGTTCCCCTCTCCAAAATATGGTGGAGAAAGCCCATAGATGAAAAATATCCTTTGCGAATATGTAATAGCATTCCTTCCTCTTGTGGTTGGTTGGTGAATGGAATTTATCCCGATTTTTTATACCCAGACTGACTACGGCGTAATTATCCACTTGCTGTGGTGGTGGTGGAGGGGTCTGCGGCTCTACAATCGTACGGAGGAAGGAGATCGTTTGCTTATTTAAATGTTGATGAACTTAAGGATAACTATTGTATATGCACAATTGAAAAATTGAGTCAAGCCCAATGGCTGCACAGGAATGAAATCTGCTTTATTTAATTAGACACGCATGCCAGCCCTTTTCTCATCTTCTCTTCTTCCCCACTTACAAAATGTGCTGCTGTATACACGCCGTACGTACCTTCTCCCATCGCCTCCTCGCAACTCCTAACTCTGGCTTTAATAGTCTTTTAGTAGTTTGAGATAATGGCAATTGTGTTGCTCTCGATTGTTCAGCGGTCACACTTGTTTCGAATCCTCAGACTCACTCTTGAACCTCTTCGTCATCACTTCAAGCGGTAGATAACTAAAGTGCTAACTAAAATGGTGATGATTTTGCAAAGATGGATACCTACCTACATGCACAGCAGTTTGTATAACATGCAAGCATTTCGTAAGGATATGGCCATTGGGCATGTCATTGCTCGACTAGATCAGTTTCACGCCTCGGTCCCCATCTACTCTAACTTGTTGTTACATCAAAGTATTTATTTTGGCTAGAATTATTTTTCCTGCAGCAGATTCATGAATTTAAAAAAATGGTGTAAAACTAGACCAAAGATTCCTATGTACATACATGCACGTAGAGCAGCTGTCTAGGATGCTCTTAGCTAGCAAATAATACAATATGTATATTTCCATGCGCTTCGTTCGTTCCAATTAATGAGTGGAATTGAATCTAGATTTAACCCCATCAAGTGTCCCATATTTACTTAAAGATCATCCCCGGATTGTGTGCAACTGTTGAAATCAGCAACCTGAGGCCGCAGGAAAAGATGAATTTGAATTTTCACCAACGACGACGACGACGAGGGTCTCGCAGCCCGCATGGATTAAAGGGAATTAAATCCTTTTCACAATCCCCACTTTGAGTCATGAATCAGAAATGATAACAATAAACATTTCATCGGAGGAGGACCTCATTCAATTCTCTCCAGTTGTTGTTGGTGCTGCTGCTGATTAAACAATTTTTTGCACCTCGGCCGAACCCAGTTTTTTACGAACATATGTACGTCACATCCACAACTATCGAATTCAATATTGATGAGGAGAGCACTTTTTTTATGAATGGAGTGGAAGGCAGGTGGATAGTGAACAAGCAGTATTATTGTGTCCAACCATTCGTTTAGTATGCATGCTAACCTCACCCACGACCTGTCCACCTGCTGATAATTCTGCATTAGGACTGGACTTTGTAATCAGAGCATTTCCAGCATTTTCATAGACTGACCCATCCATCCTTCATTCTCGCGAAGGGATAATGATGGGATGAAGGATGGATGCGAATGCATGTACGCTTCTGTTGGCTGGAGAAATTCTCTCTGGATTGTGGATGAAGTCAGATGAGAAAACAAGGGAGAGAAACTGAGAAGAGAGAGAAAGAGCGAACTAGCGACTAGTATTTACTGTGCTCTTAATTATCACCGCCACCTGGACAATTCGGGGATTTTCCCACACTACATCCCTCAACCGGGCTGAGAGGTAGGACACAAACTTGTGATATTTCCCCTCCCAAACTTGGTCATTGGAGAAATCTCTCCAACACAGTGTTGAGTCAATGCAGGAAGCTTGAATGTTCCTCTGGCTGAGAAATAAATGGAGCAAATTAGAGCAGCAGCAGCAGCAGCACCAACGACGACGACGAAAACCATCCGTAGATTCTGAGAGTTTTGGGAGTCATTTGTTAGCATCGTTTACAATAAGTCTCATCTCACTGACAACACAACTCTGGAGAAAGTTGGAAACTAAGTTGGCTAAGAAGTACACGTTCATAAGAGCTGGTCGTATTTAACTGATGATGATCATGTACTCATTTCGTGTTTTCACTTCTCTTACTTAAAACCATTTGTTTTTCTGATTTAGAATTCAAGTAATTGCTTCTTCACCATCCATCCGGACTCGGTAGTGACTCTTGGAAAGTAGGGTGCACGCAATTGTGTATGTAGGTACGTAAGTTTTGTTAATGAGTAACAGGACATTTGCTGACATGCGTATATGCTGACCACTGCAGGAATTGACCAATTTCATTGTTCACATTAATCACAATTAAAGTAATTAGATGAATATGCGAATGACACAATGAGGAGTAGGCATAATTATTTAGCAACAACACATGCTACACGCCCCGTCGTCCGGAGGAATATCAACTTTACCGTAATAATCAATTAACTGACCATCGTCATCATAATTGGAAACGGTTACTGGGAGTTTCCTTCCGATTGCTTGACCCAATGCATAATATGGAACGGAAAGGTCAAACTTTACAGTTTCATGCCATTTAGATGCTACGTATGCCAAGTTAAAAATAAGATGTGAGCATATTTTCTTACCGAGATTGAGAAGCGTGCCGATGGGTTGGAGCGAGTGGTGCTTGAAACCTCCGTGATGATGCCGTCGATCATCCAGGCGAGCAGGGGATGAGAGGTCGACGGGATTGTTCGGCACGAGCCCCCCGTGAATCATGACGCCATGAATGGACACCGGAATCGCCACCGGCTGACCATAATCGACATGACCGTTTACGTCACAGGTATTCTGCTGGCCATTATTACTTGGGCTCATTTTAAGTTCATTTTGATTCTGTTGTTGTTGCTGTTGTTGTTGCTGCTGCTGTTGCTGCTGCTGCTGCTGATCCACACAAAGGTCATTCTAACAAGAAAACAAGCAAGTTGTTGAAAATAAAATAAAAAAAGCTAGATGATCGTTTTATAATGCGTAACTAAATAAATCTAGTGCTCCAAAGTGTCTGGGTAGTGAATCCAGTCATTCAAAGTTCAGTGCAGATTATAAAAGTACCCTTCTTGTCGTCCCTACCACCACCACTTGGATGGAGCAACCGAATCATAAAGAAATCACTCATTTGCTCTGTGCGATGAGGGGACCATCCTACGTATAAATAAGGGACAAGAAATATCGGCGTCAATCACTAGTGATGACACACTCCTCCGATAATCCACCATCAGGAAACAACACATGTTGTTGTGACGCTCAATAAACGACTGGATGACTGAATAAAGGGAGAAAATAGATATTCATTTTCATGTTTATTTCTTGTCCGCCTCACAAAACCTGCGGTGGTGATCATTGCCATCGCTTCGCACCCTCGCTGATAATCACCAAGCGTCGTAATCACATGTTGTTCAGCTCTATTCTAAAACTTATGGTCGTTCCAATTCGGCACGCTCATTCATTTCTGCACGATAATTCTCCCCTAAAAGTCTGACACATTTCTACCGTCAAGGGGGAAATTATGCCCTCTTCTTGCCTCACCTGTTGCATGTAGTACTGGTTGACTGAGGTGGGTGTGGTTGGCGAATCTGTGACCGAATTGTTGAACGGGGTAAGTTGGTGATGTTCTGGAAGTGGGGTTGCGTCCCAGCAGTCGGCCGGCGTGGCTGTTGGGGCACTTGGCTCGCTCCCTTCGTATCCCCCACCAAGACCCAAGTGATATTGGCCCTGCAACATCAAAATTAGTAAAATATTTCATATTCCGGATGCGGATTCTACTGATACAATAAACATTCATGAAAGATCAGTATTCTCTTCTAATGCAGAATCAAAACTTAAATAATGACAGGCGAGTCTGCGAAGGAGAGAGGTTCACACGGACCAAGAAACCGCAAAGAGCATCAGCTCACAGTGATCTCCAAATCTGAGTGAGTGAGTAAAAATTTAGCATGATTTGAATGAGACACAAGTTTCGAGAGCTGCTGCTTCGTTCGGCCACACGAGAAGAGGATCCCTGTTTTTGGCTTTGTATTTGTTGCTGCTTCTGGAGTTTTAAACTTTGGATGGATATCTGAACCAGGATTTGTTGTGAATTTGACGATGATGATGATGGCGTGGCTTATATTGTGTGTGCATATACACATATCCGTAGGATGACGTGAAAAGTGTTCACAATGATGAGCTGATGTGTGGCCAAGATACCACCGTGATGCGTTGGAATTGGATTGATATGGATTATGGACCTTCGTGGGAACAGATCCGAGAGGAAAAACGGGAAAAAACTTCTTCGTCTTCTTCACACTCAGCCAAATATTATCGCCTCCACTAATGTTGCACCTTCTTCACTATTATAAGCACGACGTCTCTTCAAATCAATCTCACGCACTTAACTATGCTGCCTGACTGACTCGAGTATGTGCATTGGTCATCAACTTTCTAGGTTTTTGATTTCTCAAGTTATTGCAAAAATTGAAATATTTCAAAGTGCAGAGATTTATTTTACTAATGGTTCAAATCCTAAATTGGTTTTTCATACATGATGCGCCACATGAGATGAAAGTGGTCGTGGCAGAAGAATAAAATGAAAACTATATGAAGCGATTTGGTTGATTGGTTGGCTGATCATACTGATGACTCGGATAAAGTGATTAGATTCAAAAACTGAAAGAAACGGAATCAATGAGCCGACAATGTAAAAACCTCTCCGTCTCCTGCCTGCACTCCAAGCCAACCGCAAGCACCTTAACAACAATGTGTATGTAATGGCAGGTAGATACATGCTACCGGTCTTCATTTTCGACCATCCATCCATCCATTCACCGCCTTGCATTCATTCGTAACAATGCAAACTACTGCCCGATCAAACCCAAGTCAAAATAAGTTTCAAAAATTGAACGAGTCTGAATTTGAAGGAAAATTTAGCAGGGATATTAATTAGCCGAGAAGTGTCTATCTGATGCACGCAGGAGGAGAAGAAGGAGGAAGTCTTAATTTTATTGAGACAATCAGGAAAAGGTGGTTTGAGTCGAATTTCATTTCTTCAAGACTTGTCGTCCACCTCCTCCAAGTAAGAAGTAGGAGGCGAACAAGTGAGTAAATCTAGCTAAGCAAGCAAGCCAGCAACTAAAGGAGATTTGACCGAGTTAATACAGTGCTTAATGGGATAATAAGATGATAGGAAAACAGAGGAGTTTAAACTTGTTATGTTGGACTTAATAGCATCATATCCGCTCTTGCCGTGGGAAAGGAAGGCGCTTTTCAATCTGACTTTTATTCCAATTTATGCCACCACCACCTCCACCTGAGACATTGATACGACGGTGATGATGATGATGTGCTCCTGCTCGTCCTCATCTGATCATGAGTACTTCTTTCGATTAGCAACGTTCCTCGCTTCCATGTCTTTTCAATACTACTTTCATGTTATAAATATGATAAATGCTATATTTTGACTAAATACACATATCCCAAAAATGAGACACGTATGCATTTAGTGAGACACTCCTAAGGAACGCAAGACGAATCCAAATTCATTTCATCCAAATGCAGCTAAAACTTCAACTCCAATTAAACAAGTTGCTGTTGACTGTTAAATCAAGTATTTATAATGCTAATTAAACCAAGACAAAAAGTTCCGGATTCAGCGGGAACAAATACCAAGCAACACAAAGACCTCTCGCATTCTCGGCCGGCGGTCATGCTGGAGTAAGAATAAAAGTCACCGGAGCGTGGCGGAGGATAAGGGAGATGCTTATCGCTTCCTCACTCACTACTCAGAGTCCCGCTCCCCTTCTACAAACCAAAGCAAACCACTTGTTGCACCAACACAAGAAAAGGATGACATGTGTGTCGCACAAATCTAAACTAGTTTCGCAGCCTTAAGTTTGTATAAATATATTTTTATACATATAAAAATGAGCATATTTCATGAGAAAAATCAGTAGCAATTATGGAGAAAGTACAGAAAAATGAGTGTAAACTCACCCAGGGCGAAGATGCTCGATCCGTCGGATCCATCACGACGGGCATGCTGCTGTGGGTCCGAAATTCGAGTAAATTTGTTAAAGCCAGCTTCCAAACTATTCACGCCACACTTGCCGATGGCGGCGAATCACGACAAAAATTTGCTAATTTGTACAAAATCAGAATAAAATTGGGCCCTGAATCCCCACTCACACGACACGATCACGCACAGCAGTAATTAGTTCCCTTAATCATCAAAACTGGGGAAACTGATCCCGAAATTGTCACCTCTCGATCGTCTCCTTTGTCGAACAATATGCAAATCCACCATGTGTGCCTTTTTCCTCTTAATACTAGAAACTTATTATTGCACCTGTTTAAAGCGATTGATTGAGTGAGCTGGGATGGTTTTTAATGAGAAAGGTGAGACGGTGGATGTGAAGGGGTACGACTGAGACGAGTGGTCAAATGCAACTGCTCCAGCCTAGTGGAAGGGTTGCTTGGTGTTTTGTGTTCAAGAAAATGAGGTAGCAATCGCTATTCTTCTTCATATTGCTCTTCGCTTACCATTCTACGTGTGGATGTCCTGGGTGAGGTAAATAGGTGCCCATTGTTGAGAAGAAGAAGACCAAGAAGAAGACGAGTGCACGGTGGAGGTGGAGCAGCCACCACTTGCATATTGTATGTAAATTGCATTGTTTTCTGCCACCACTTGTTGCTCCTTCGTCATCTTTTGTATTGTGAGGGAAGCAAACACAAGCTTTTGGTGCCAACAACAATGAGCACTCACGACTAGTCCTGCGTACAATGAGCATTACAATGAGCCCTCCAAATCGGGGTACTTAACAGGACAAATAAGTAATAATAATAAGTCAGTCATATGCATAAAGTTTTCCATTAAAGTTTCTGCTTTACATGTTTTCTTCTTCACTAATTGACGAAAAAGGAAAAAAGAAGTGGGGAATATGAGACATTTTCAAAGTTAATGACATGCGAATTGCATTTGCAACAAAAGTGACGAGTTTAAAGCACTTTGAGAAGATCACCTCCCCCACTTGTCGCGTTATGTTGTTGTCGTGATGAGATGAGGTGAGAATCCCTTGATTTCGTCCAGAGTGAAAAAAGTCAAGGGTGAGAGTGACTCTTCTCCTCTTTCCCACAATCAGACCAAATTATTCAGACCAGTTTCTGTTCCGGTGAACTACCACACTTACTGCTCCTCACACATCGTACGAGATCCTCATGCTTACTTTATTACTCCCACACCAACAACCAGGAGCATGTAACGTAATCGTGGACAAAAAATGGTCCACGCTTATACTCGTCGTCTCCATTTCTCTATAAACAAGTCTTGGTTTTCATCTCAACCTCGACTAACCGTGCCAATTAGTCAAGATTAGGTTGGGACTCGAGTCCTCCTTTTATTACTCTTTCACGGGAACCTTAATTCCTCTTTAATCAATTTTCCAATGGCCACTTGAGGTCACGAGGTGTCAATTTCGTTTTTCATGTCAATATATTTTGTTGGTGGTGGTGTCCAAGAAAACAAAAAATGAACAGGAATCTTTTGGGAAATACGTACAAGGAATTAAGTGCTTTTTTACATATTACGGAATGGTACGTTACGCAGTGTGTGTGAACTTATGTAATTATTATGTCACTCGAATATGTAACAAGCTCACGGAGTCACTCGACTGTGACGTGACCTGTTGGTTGATGGTGGGGTCATTCCTTTAAAGTGCCAGAACTGCCGGCTTAAAAATCAGGCATGCGAGTTCGGCCCACTGCTTCCCACACTACGACGAAATGCATGTCGTAGCGGAGTAAAGGCACGTAGACAAGCAAGGAATCGCCACAAAGAGTAAGACGCGACCAGGCATTAAGGAACCCTCCTATTTTGCATTCAAAACATATGTTGATTAATAATTAAACTTGTTGTGTGTGCAATACGTTACGGTGGATGAACTCTCAAATTTGTGAGAAAATTCGGATAACAATCTCCCCACTTTGAGGTTGAGGAGGGCTTTCTCTCCAGATTTGAAACAATGGAAGGTCACATAACTATTAAATTGAGAGAAAATCTCTTTCTGAAGTCCCGTTAGTTTCCCCCGTCCAATTTTGGTTACGTTTTTGGCAATCATTTCATTGGTTTTGAATCTAGTCTTTATTTACCAAAAAAGGATTCTTTCATTTTTTAAGAGGTAGCAATATATGTAACAAACCCATTTTGCTCATCTTAACGTACACAACTGCACATACAAACATTCAATGAACCAAGCAACAAGAATGCTGAACTGATGAGTGCAAAGGAGTGATTTTGCAATAGAGGAAGGCCGGAAGTGGACGAGAAATCGAAGGAAATGCTACATTTCCTTGTATTTTGACAGCACCAACAGCAGCACAGGTTTCTCTTCAACGTATTTATTATAAAATAGTGGCCATTACTCGCATGTGATGATGACGAGACATTGTTACCCTTCCCCCCCACGGATCTCCTTAGCCTGGCGTGGTGTCGATGGTGCTGGTGATGAGATGCATGTTTAAAGCTGTTAAATAATATTGTCAAGAAGACGGATAAAAAATTCTGCTAATGTTGCATTTGTTATGAGAGTTCATCTTCATCTCGAAGAAGAAAAAAACGCATGGACACAAGAATCTCACAATGAATGAGATCATTGGCATTTGTTCAAACATTGGTTGTGGCATGGCCTTCGTGGGCGTCGATGAGAATTTTGTGGTTTGGTTTTGGCATTCATCTCATCGCGTCGAAAAATGCATCATGTATCTCATTCCGTTTCTTGTGTTGGCTTCTTTTGCCCTTTATTTCAAACGTTTCAAACTTACTGGAAGAATTGTAACACAATATTCTCAAGGAGTTTTTTCCTGGTTAATAATTTGCCTAAATAAATACTAGTCTCAAGTTATCCTAATTAATCTCGTAAATTTAATGATAAATATTTTCTATTTTTATTATTTCATAACAGCAAAATGAGCGTTTAAACTGAATAATTTTCAAAATCGTTCTTTCACTTCGTCGTCTGGATGAGGAGGCGGAAAAGCCAACCCAGGGCGGACCAACCTGTTCTTGAGAAGATCACCATTGGTCTTTATCCCTCTTGGGATTCTCATCTCAGCACCTGAGTACGAATCACATCATCATCTTTCCTCACCTGCCGTAAACAACAATTTGGTCAAAAAGGCATTGTTACTCCTGCTGCTGTTGTTGTTGATGCTTCGTTGCATCGGAAATCGGAATATTTCTTTTTAGTTTTTTTTATACTAAACTTTATTTATTTACTAATAAAACTGAGAGTAAGTTTTCGACGGGTGAAACCATTTTAGTGGATGATTACCACACTCAACTAACTAAATAGAAGCATTGTTATTTTTAAACATGATGAGTGAAATATGAGATGATTCTCAAAGTTGGATGACCAAATTTTGTTTGCGGTGGTCATATTTTAGACGAAAGAGTTAATTTTATCCGCTCTCACACTCTTTCAACGGACCATTATTGTTGTACACTGGTGTCCCATTGTTGTTCGCACTGACATGCGTTTTCATACACACAGCTTCTTGTTGCACCACCAAATTATTGTTCCCATTATTAGTCCCCCTCCTCCTGTCCAGACTTTTCTTATTCTTGGAGGAGAAAAATACACGCCTCATGCGGTGAGCTAACTAATGCTGCTTGTCATTGGCAATTACGATATTAATAAATAATACAAATTGTACTGGATTAGATAGTTATGCTGCATGGTAATCAAAACATTGACACAGTCACACGCTTACCTACTCAAACCAGTCGGTCTTATCTTTGATAATTCCTAATCAACGCCATCGAAGATCGCATCTCGGTATCAATAAAGAACTGTGATTTAAAAATTACCAAGTCTTTACGTAAATATGCACATTTTTTAAATTCTAATCTAGACCCATGGAAAATATGTGTCCTTTTTCGTCTACAATATGCAAAGTTGGTCTACAAATCTAAGAATTTGCCACAACCAGTAAAAATAGCGGATCTTCTGGTGGGTTTCACGAAATTGAGAGACCGTTGAAGCTATATTGGATTATAATTTCCTTTACACAACCACCACAGAAGGAGCAGCAACTCTTTTGTTTTCCATAAACCAAGAACAACAGCTTTTCTGAAGGCACTGGTCGTGACGATGGGATGCTGGGAACTTGTGGACATCGAGTTAGAGAGCAGTTAATGAAGTCAAACACAGAGAACTTAAAATAAAAGACGCAACGGTAGATTGAGGGGCATTTGGTCAGGGTTCATAAAACCGCACACAGACAAGACTTAGTTTTGCTCCTATTTAAAGAACCGAAAATAATTTCACAAAAACTTCTCAGGCTCAGATCCTCCCCTCTTTGCAAAATCAATGCAGTCAATTCCGAATTTTTTCTCACGCATGTTCTTCGACCAATTCAGTGAGATTCATGCCGATTTTGTATACAAAAATGATACAATAGTACAAACTGGGGTTTAACCTGATTTTTAGTCATCTTCTTCCTTCTAAAGAGATCCCTTTCCAATTTTGGGTATTAATTGTTCACTCCTCGTTGCAAACCCTTTATCGTGATGTTCGCGTGAACTTAATTCCGGGGATTGCCCTACAGTAAAAATGGGACCGTTGTCAATTGTCTCTCATCCTCAGCATTCTTCAAGAGCAACATTTGAGAAAATCTTTCTCTTGAATGAGCGATCAAGTAGAATTGTGCATTTATTTTCTGTTTTCCACCCAAGGAAAAACATATCCATGCAATTCTCCAGCGATTTCATTAAATTTGTTGCCGCGCACGGTAATACATAAGGAGAACGAGCTACCGGATGGTGGCAGTTTTGTTACCATTTGAGAGACACGGTATTTAGTCACCCCATCCTCATCTTTGACTCTTCAGGTTGACCATAACCTTGCCCAAATTGTATGAAAGTATCAAAGTGTGTTGTGTACCGTTGTGGGGATTGATATACATGGGAACTAGTCGGTACAATGTCTCATGGAAGTCGCAGATATTATTATTGTCTCGGTCGACTCGGACCGTGGTGGCACGTGGTGGCAGCGGCCTGGGATTTTTATTCGGAACTTTCAGTCTCTTTGAGAATTTAGAGGTTTTTAACCACCGCCGCATCACAACGGTGCATTGGATTCTTTGAATGAATGGGTGTGTAGGTCTTCTGAATGTGCAGTGGGAATTTGTACTGCAGTTTTCCAGCAGAAGCCTAAGTGGGCATTCCTCCCAAGAATTTTGGGTCAAATCTTCACACACTAACATGCTTCTTCTGAGAGAATACGCTGTTTGCCTCCCTTCATGTGTGCCTGTGAAAAAACAAGCGTCAAACTTTGTCTCAACTACTGCAAATATTGATTATGGACGAGAAACAGCATGCCATGGAATATGATATGCATTGATAAGAGAAAAATTGCATACACCAAGTTGGCAAAATAATGCATAATCTGTCAATTATTAAATTAACCTCAGTCACCCTTCTCTCTCTCTCCTTCCATTGCTCTCCACATCAACTAATTATGCCAAAGATAATAATGACGATGCTTGTGATGAATGATGAGACAGATTAATTGCTCAAAAGTAAAAGTACGCAATCCATTTATTTTATAATGCTTATGAAAATATAAAATAATTTCACAATTCTTGACTACCAATCACTCCTCAACCTCAGCAAATAGAGAAGAAATGAGCAAGGGCAATCAAGATTTTACCTGATAACTCAATTTTATTGCAAAAATCTAGACAAGTCACATTTATTGCGCTTTATAATATTCTCACTACAATTAGTTTCTGGGTGGTGATGGGTTATTGTGTCATCATCACAAGTCGTCTGGGTGCAGTAATTCGTCATTGTCTTTATTTATAGTTATTACCTCTATTATTATTGTATTTATATTGCCAGCAAATAAACGATGGCTTAATGAATTTCCTAATTCCGAACAAAACAAGAGTGGATATTATAAAGAATTTGCAGATATTTAGCAATACTTTTCAGCAGTGGAGAAAAACACGGACGATTACGATAAGAGAGACAGAATTATCGTTTCAAAATTTTTGAAAAATTTAGGAAAATTACGGAAAACGAACAATGAAAGTGTCGATGAAGGTGGACATTTTGCTGCAGTGTGGATGAGACCAGAGGCACATAGCTGATCTCAATAGTAAATACTTGAATAATTAATTATCTCAAAGTCCCAAACGATGTTCTACATACTATAAATTGATGACGACCTCATCTAAATCTGAATTATCCTCCCTTTCATGAAGACGTGATAATCTGAATGGTCTCTCGATAGCCATGCAAAAGCAGTGGTGTGGTTATCCATCTGTTGAGATACCACAATTCTCGACGGGTCCTGTGCTAACGATGTATGTATGCACATATGAAACCCATTGCGTTGCATGATTATTTCCATCATACGCCCGATGTTTTCAGGTTGGTTAGTTGTTTGTTGGCAGAATAATGATTGTGCACTCACTTATCTTCAAGTGAGCAATAATGAACGTCGTAATTTTGATTGTTCAAGAGGCGATATGATGGAAAACAATAAAATAAAACAAGTTGAGCGTGGGAATTTGACGAGGATTGCCTTATTCACGACAGTAGTATGCGTACGTACTTATATAGAAGCAGTGTGGTGGTTTAAAATAATCAAGAGTTTTAAGTTTTAAAGCCTCAACTTTTACATTTTCTTCTACCTTCTCTTATACGTATGTATGCATATTATTGCGATTCACGTCATATTTACATCCATATTTACTATGCTTTTGGGTCAGCAACAATAATAATGGCCAACTTCTCCTCCTTTGCTTGTTGATGCGCTTAATATCGCGTTTGTTGTTTGAATGCCTGCATATTCCTCAAAAAAAGTAGACGAAGCGAATGAAAAAATAATTAAAACGTGAATTGAGACTGTGGCTTATTATTTATTGAAATCCGATCACGCGATCAATTTTTAGCATTTCTTTAACTCAAAAGGTTAACTATATCTAGTTTAAAATCACGAAAACTAACTACTTTAGTGGGAGGGCAAATCGAGTGCAAAAAATATTACGGCACGCCGACTTTCCTTCCTAGCAATCAATAAGTTAGCTCACATTTAATAAATAAATTCAGACTGCGAGTATTTCTTTCCTTCAAGTAAAAAAAATCGCTTATTGCAAATACATATTCGTTGAAGTTTAATATCCTATGTAAAAAAAAGTGTATATATAAAATTAATTTCTAAAATTTGACGTTTAGTCTTCATCACAGAGAAGTGTTTTTACTTGCATATGATCACAGCTTCTTGGACAAGATTGAATTCCTCATGATTTCTCCTCCGAGGACTATCTTTTGTATTTGACTATTAGATGATGACGATGTTCTCCACCACAGGCTGGATAGTTCCCATGAAGAAGCAGGGAAGAAATTACGGCGAGAAGGACGACATGGACAAATAATAAAAACCACGCAGACGAATCGTCGTGGGAATCGCAACAGTCTACCAACCCGTGAGAACTTTCTAGTCTTCTTCACACCTCCAACTATTAGAACGACAGAGATACAAAGTAAGAGCCTGCAGAAAAACTATGCTGGGCTGCTGGAACAGTTATCAAATACAAATATGTAACTGAATCATCGTCACTACCAGTATTTTTTTAACTATGAATCAGGTGACAATGACCGACCATAATGTGATCATCGTCACAAATAAAAAATATACCGTTTAATTTCACTATATCGATACGTAGGTGATTGACAAGAAGTATTTTAAAAAAAGGTCTATGGAAGACTTCAAATTTATAGACTCACTTTTTAAATGATGTCTGACTATCTAAAATATGTGGGTAAAGCTATATTCTCAAGTCGCATGATTTTTATGGTTTGGCCATTCGGGAAATTTGGACAGGACAAGTATAGTTGACATTCGCAGGGAGGAACAGTTGTGCTGCTGGGTGATGTCGTCGTCGGTTTTAGGGGACGCACCTTTTTACTGATATCGCGATTGAAGTTGACTGTGAGAGGGTATTCCGTTGAGGTTTTCTTCTCCGAAGCGCATTGTCGTCTTCTGGTCCATTTTACCTGCAGAGAGCAAGATCAAGTAAATCTTGAAACAAGGCATTTCTCATAATCGCTTAAAAACATCCACTCACCGAACACAAGGGACAGTTGACCTTGTTCGTTTGACAAGCACACTTGTTCCTCCGCGGAACAGTTTTGTAAGTTTTGTTATTGCGAAAATTTGAAGTCAGGTCCTCAATCTCGCCGGGTTGTAGCAATCCCATTTTCTTGATCAGATCAAACTCTACACTCGTCATGAGTGGGAAGCGGATTTGATATACGGCTATTCCCAATATCTCGATCAATGTTCTTCCATTGTCCTTCTGTTTTTTGCACCACCTGGAAAATATCGCAATGTTTTCATTACCGGAAAATAATGGCACTTGTCCTATTGTTATTCTTACCCCACGACAGCCTTCGCCAACTCGTACTCCCGAATTGTAAGCCCTATCACAAGTCAATAGTGAAAATCTCATAATATTTTGAAAGCGTCACCCATCCATCCATCCATTCACCCTAACAAAAACTTACGGGAATTTATTAATAATTTGTTTAGAAGCTTCCAAGAAATTTTGAGAAATCCGGGCGATGTGATAGATTTGAGTGTCTTTTTCTCAATAATTGACCAGCATTTCGAAGTCAGCTCCACCATCACCCCCAAGGCAACAATTGGACTGGAAAGCACCTCCATCACATTGGTGGCACACAATTCTTTCAGCAGAATTTTGTACATCCCAATTTCTAAGGATTTTATATTGTACTTATGCGCAATCATGAAACATCGAAGGATTTGACTGTAGGGACGGTTCAGGATAACGCCAGCGCCCTCATACAAACCCTACGCGGATAAACTTTGTCTTAAAATGCAACCCTAATTACTGAATTAATTAAATGTTAACCTACCTTCATAACCAGCTCAAAGTCCTTTGCCTCCGCGTCCGTTATTTGTATGAATGGACCCGTCTGTAAGGGGCTCCCCAACATGGTGGCAAATACGGGACTATTTCTAACCAATAGATGCTACAAATATATAACGTAACGTAACGTAAATTCCCCTATAAAATACACCATTTTCTTTCATATAAGTAAAGGCAAGAAACTTGTAGCTACTTTGTGGACAGGGACTTTGATCCCTCCGACGACAAATGTGACTTCGGCAGTGTTATTTAGCAACATGACATCACGTTGGATCTCCTCCACCTTTAATAGCTTGGGCTGAAAAGGGACTGAAATATAGACGTAGTTAGTTATACAAATTATAGAATACTAATCCTAAGAAAATTATGTATGTTACTAAAATCTCAATGAGAGCATAACTTTTAGCCTTACTCGTACTTCCATTGCAGCTCAGTCGAATGGAGACCCTTCGTGGAACCGAGATCCTTGGTGGGGATAAGAATAAGGGATTTAGCGTCATTTATTATAACAAGTTCGACAAATTACTAATAATTTGTATCGACTGTTAATCTTCTTCAGGCTCCACTGTTCCAAATCTGTCCCCAAGAAATGCGAGATGCGGAATGCGAACTTTTCCTTGCTACCCTTCACATCTTGAAAGAATCATGCAAGATCGTTCCATTTCCATGAATTATGCAAATGAAGATTGTACACCTAAGCAAATCTATAGTCGCGGAAAATTGTCAAACAACTAATGCAATGAAGAATCTTCAGTGACAACTTTACAAAATAAATCGTCTTTCTTCTTCTTGTTTCATTTCCAACTCACGCATTTATTAATGTACGATACACCACAGCGATAAATATTTATGTATATAACGATCACATGAACATATATGTAGATAAGTTTGCATCTCCAAGTATGCACAAAATAAAATACAATCACAAATTTGTAACAAATCGGTAAATGCTAAGTTTCAACAAGATGTGGCACATAAACTGAATAAACATAATTTGAATAGTCGTCGCGTCTAAACACTACTAACGGAGGGACTATGGATAAATGGAAGCATGGTGGTTTTGCAGCAACACTTGTACACATTAGAATAATAATAATATAGGATTGATGGACACTCTGAGTATTAAATTACACACTAGATGAACTAGTATAAGATTGTACATTTTAGCCCAAACGATAACAATAATATCTCATCTGTGGAGGTACAAGTACGAGGGCCACAGAAATTGTCTTGTGACTAGGAAGTAGTATTTTATAACTGCTGCGACTATCGTAATAACTTAACTCCTTAAGTTTTGAACTCTCTAAGCCTTTAAAACCTTCAACAAGTATCGATGTGAAAAATTATGAGCAAAATGATTTCTCTCATTAAATAAGAATAAGTTATGTACTTATGTGGGCAAGTGTGGACAATGTTTCGAAAATAAATCATCAAAATTTTTCAAAATTCTTCAACTGGTCATCGACTATCTGCCTCTTCCTTATTTTAAACTTTAAATTTGTAGTTATAAAACTATGATTAGGTAACATGTTGGTAGCAAGCTCTATGTTTTCTGAGATTTGGGATCAGCAGCAGACCAAGTAATCATCATTTGTAAAATACATGCACGGAGCTTGGTTGGTTGGTTAACGTGAGGGGTTTGTCCCCCAATTCTCTAATGTATACATACATGATTAATTTAAATACAATCAGAGAGTAGTTATTCAAACTACTCTAAAGTGAATAACTACTCTCTGAAATGTGTTAGTTTGTACAGTTGTCTTATACTTATATCAGCCAAAGGAGCCAACGCCTCGACAAGTGTAAGGATTTTGGAGCAAAGGCACGCTAACCAAGTGCTCTGCATTGGTTTCCCTCTCTTTGTTTTCAGTTTATAGTTAAGTAACAATTTGACGGATTTGTGTTTGTGTGATAGCTTTTGCTCCATTTGCCGACGAACTGCAAAACGACTAATAATGAACTAACAGTAATGAATAAGTGCTCGATATGTGTTGTGTTCTATAATATTTACAATTAACTAGGGAACTAAAAATGGGACCTCAAATTAATTAAGCTACGTTTCCTATAATCTACGTTTCTGAGTCCGCATAATCATCATGTGTTCTATTCAAATAAATCACACACGAACCAAAAAATACAACAATATATACATTAAAATTCTAGGTCAAATGTCTACTTTAGTCTTAATCAGTCATATGTACAATAGGCAATAATGAGCTGTTACCCTTGATTTTCTTACAATATATAGTACACATAGATAAGCTACACACGGTACAATCTAAAAATACGGTGAAGCTGTCATCATATATTCCTAGCTACTTATAATAAATTACTAATTGGAGTCTAAAAGTATTCCGACTTGACAGTAGGGCGCTTTATGTGTGTGATCACCACCACTAATTGAACCATCTCCGTTCATGAACTGATCTGGCATCACTTGCGTCCATTTGACATATGGCGAGTTTACTGGGTTTGTCGGAAGACTGAGACTTCCATTGTTGTTGGACGATGGAGGTGCTCTATCGTTGGGATTAGGTCCCATATTCAGGATACGGGAAGGTGGGGGCGGTGAGGGGGAACTTCCTCCCCCAATACTGACGGTGGTGGGGTATGGACTATTCGAAAACGGAACTGGAGACCCATTGTCACTCGTAGATCCTCCAAAACCAGGATCGTCGAATAGATCCTGCGCTGGGAGATTACTATACGAAATGGGGATTGGAAATGCGTCCTCCTCTGTGTCGTCCGTAGTTAGGGAATCGTCCAACAATGGGTTTGTGGGACATTCAGACAAGCGTTTTTCAGTCAAGAGGTGCTCATTTTCCACCTAAAATTACAAATTTTTAAGAAATTAGCGCATTCATTAGGAATAAAATTGCATGAAGACGACAACAACTAATCACATGGCACGTCTCTAAGTAATAAAATTAAACCAGGAGTAAATAAATCATTCTTGGCCAGGAGAACTTTATCGCCCGCCCAACCAAAATGCTTGGTCATCATGCAGGCGAAAAAACAGACTTCAGGTAAGCAAATTTACAAGGAGGAGAAGAATAAGAGAGTTCAGCAGTATAATCTCTATTCACTAAAAAATAGCAGCATCATCATCGTGCAAGAAGGGGCAAGGCGTTCCGTCCGACAAGGTGTGTGTTTAATTATGTTGACGTACATGTTGTGGTTGTGAGGAAGATGCAATCTGATGTGCCGAATCGAAAGTGGTGTCATTATGCAACAACAGTCCAACGTCGGAAGACGAAATGCCATTCGACTTTTCAGGTTTGTGGTGAACTTCCATTTCTTCCGAGTACACTTTATTATCAAAACTCATTTTTCCTCCGCCATGATCCCCACTTCTGGCTCCTGTTTTCTAAAAGATTCACAAAGTAGAGGCGCTCTAATTGTAAGTTATCCAAGAAATTGCAATAAAAACGGTGCAATCTGTTAAAATCGAGGTGCGACAACGCAGTGATTCACGCATTCAGTTCCTTTATTGTGTTGGCCCTTATTTTACATGACATTGAGCCTCCCTCCCTGTACTGCAAAATATGGTAAAAAATTTCATGCTATGAATGCAACTTGTTGGGGTTGGACGGTACATGACAAATGTCACGAAATATGACAAATATCAAAGATTTTATTTGTACCAGTGTACAATAATTTGCTAACAAACATTTAAATTGATTAATTGAGGTAACTTCTAGTGCTAATAAATATCAGTAAAACACCCGTCACACAACGACAGGAGTCGTCTTGCCAGCCACGTCCTTGGACGGACGGTGTAAATAAAGGAGGTAGATGAGACTAAAATATTGTTATGTTTAGTTGTGTTTCAATTTGGTTTGATTTGTATTTTTGTAAACAAGATCATTTGGTTATCCTTCCAGAATCCCATCATCATCATCGTCATCATCATCCATGAGGAGGAAGAGGAGGAGGAGGAGGAGAGAGGGCTGGCTTGTGGGTGGGTGAGTGAGTGGGTGTGGATCCACTCAAACAGAGGCGATGGCGACCCCCTCGTCAAGACTTTGGGGCTCAGTCTACACAAAGTACACACGCCCACGGATTTAGCCCATTTCTGGTCAACACTCAATTTACACTACGACCACAAGCAGTTTATCTCAGAAAAACCACTACAAACTGTAAAATGCTCACATCACAATGATAGGCGTACGTGAATCACTGCATTTAACACTCGTCTCTCAAATGAAACACCCCAAAACCACGCCACCCAGAAAATAAGCCCATTATGTATTAATTAGCACACCCAACAAGTAACATGTCACCAAAGCTTGCAACACTCTATTACTCGTACTTAATTATGTGTTAATAAGAGTACATACGTAGTAGTTCATTAAAAACAAACCACAACCACCGGTGGAAAGTTAAGAGACTGAATAAAATATAACTCGCAGAAGTGGAAATAGAAGACGTGCAAGTGAAAACCCACTCAAAATCCGTACACAAAAATGTATTTTCTTACCTCTTGTTGCAGACACGATTCGTTGAGTGATGTGAAATCTTTGGGGTCATCAGAGTGATGCGTCGTGGTCATTTGCAGTTGATAATTCAGGTTCTCTTTTCCAAATGAGTGGGTGTCTCCGCCAGAATCTCTTCTTCGTTTTGGAAGGTTGTGCGAAAACCCGTTCAGCTGGAAATAAGCAGTTAAATAGTACAAAATTTGAGCCCTGTGTAATCATTTCATACACACTGAAAGTATGTATAAAACTTTCAATTTATTAGAAAAAGCTTATTACGCTTTGAACAGCCATTCCAGGAGGCAGGGTAACGTCCACTCCTTCTTTCATGTACTTAAATTTTTGGTGTAGTCTGGACAAAATAGGTATCTAATTATTTGACCGTACTATAATTTAATGTTAAACTGTATTATGACGCACTTGGTACTTGTGATTCCTATCAATCCAATAAGTACAATTACGCCAATGACTACGCCAACCCAAACTATCCAAGACGCTCCTCCTAAGAAAAATAGTAACAATATGATTTTAAAAATTTTCCTTTTTAACAACTTCAAGTAATTAAGCTCATAGTTATCAAAGTATGTAAAAGCATCTAATTTACCTCCACAATTAAAGTTTCCAGCCGAACTCCACCTTCCATACAGCGTCTCCCCTCTACTTTCTAGCACAGTAACAGCTCTAACTTGTGCTGTCAAATTTGTACTCGTCTCACAGGAGAACTTCATCTTGTGGTAATATGTGCTAGCGTTTGCGTCTGTGCAGAAAGTATAGTCAAATCAGCTATATTTACATAATACTGACACATAATTACATTTGCTGATCTGATTGATTAATGACTTACTGCCGTCATACGGAACGGACACAATATCATCATCCTTTCCATTCTGTTTCAGGAGAATTTCAAACTTTGTGATGGGTCCTCGTATGTTGGAAGGAACACTCCACACCACGGCAATGTCGTCCCCATCAATATGCATGTCAGGGAAAGTTGTCATGTCCGTGTCTAAAATAAATAACATTATGATGCCTTGTTTCATACCCAGATTTTTTATTATGCTGACTTACATCCCACGTCTGTTTTAAAATGGGCTAGTGTTGAATCCTCTGAGCATTTTGAGGTACACGCAGCCACGGTAAATGAATAATTCGAATTGCTGAGTAGGTTCTTGACTTCCACCTACAAAAATTTGATTAATTAGCTTAAAATCAAAGTTACAGTATAGGTAAACGCAATGTGCGTATTGGTATATGTACATATGTTCTCCCAACCTCAGTCAACTTCATTACTGCTCCATCGTCGAAACAGCTATCCGTCCTAACACTGTTCTCGGACGAACCACTTGATCTACTGGGATGTGCGACTGGATAGAACTTTTCGGTGGCTTCTCCAGTTTCTAAAGACTTGTACTTGACTCTGTACTCTTTAATGATCCCGTTCAAAGGGAATTGTGGCTTAATGGATATCGTTGCACTCGTATTGGTAACTGTCACCTCGCTCACGATCGGTGGATAACTGGGGGCTGTAATTGGATTGAATATAGCAAAATGCTTTCAGCATAAATACATTTGATCATGTCTTTTTTATGTCATGATTGACTCACCACTAGGTTTAGTAGTTGCATAAATAGGCTCGCTCTTTTGACTCTCCCCATTTGCAGAGATGATAGAAACGGAAATCATGTAGGTCGCACAAGGATATAATTTCTTCAGATGATAAGTAGTTATCTCGGACCCGGCAACTGCTTCTTGCTTTTCATTGTCTGCAACAATTCAACAACCGACTACGTTATTACTTGTCCAAAATATCAGCTTACTACATGAAAGGAATTTACTACGTCAGATAAAAAGTTGGATCCTATTATTTCTTACCGATGCATCGCCCAGTTTTATTCCGCTCGTCTTCAACTCGGCAGTAGCTAATTTTGTAGCCTTCAATCACTCCAGGTTTGTAAGAGCAGTCCAAACTCCACTTGATATGGATTTCCTTCTCCGCCTCCAGAATTTTCTCCACTTTCTTCAGTTTATCGGGAACTACAGAAAAGAAAATTGCATTCATCTCATCACTCTCGCACAATTTTGGATTTTTTAGTAATGTAAAGCACCTCTGCCATGGATAAGTGTGCAAGATGCCCAAGCCATCCCACTGCTCATATTTTCAGCATTTGCTGCCACGGCGAACTGATAAATCATATTATTATGGGGAAGATTGTTGTAGAACTTGCTCTGCTTGTCGGCACTCACTACGTCCCATTTCATGAGCCCCTAGAAATCGTAATGTTCACTTTTTAATAAAATAGGATATGCTTTAAGACTATTAAAGTGATGCGTAATAAGAACTTCAATAATACGATATCACCACTACGCAACTTTTACTCGCAAGAGAGAAAAAAGTATTTTCCTTTCTCTGCAGTTGAGTGGAATTAATAGGATAAAAAAGAGCACCACAATGAGAGAAATATTTACCTGGCACTGCTGAGGTCTCGGCTTTGTACTTATGCATCTGAACACTGTGTACGACACGATCGGAACAGCAACAGGGTTCACAGGATTCCATGATATGATGAAGGAACCATTGTTAAAGTCCAGTTGAGAGACCGCTGTGGGTGACTTGGGAGCTAAAAGACCGATTCAAATAAAAATACATTTTTATTTGATCCCATATAAATAATCTTTGTCTTGTAGAGTAATGCACAATAGTGAGAGAATAGGAATAATGGTTTTTCCGTAATAACTTCTTTCATAGTTAACATAGCTAAGAGATTAATGCATGAATAGAAAGATGAGAAGTTGCCACATTTCGATACTGTATCATTATCATTCCGAACGATAATTCAAAAGACCGATTTTCCATGTAAAGTCTGATATAGTTTGTGTCGAGCAGGGAATTTTGAGTAGGCAAAGATTCTCACAATCAATCTGGGCTTCTGTACGACCAATGTACAGAAGACAGGGCTATCTCGCCTACACTACACTCCATACACGGTGTTTACCATACCACAGGTAGCATCTCACGGTAACCGGAACCGCTTATACTAAGTGACATATCTTCGTGTCAGATAGAGGACTGATCTCTACTGATTGCGGGTTACCATGCCCTGTACACATTATTGATACTGCTATAGCGTGAGTATTATTTCCATTAGTAATTCGTACCGAAATTCCTATAGCTTGTTCTTATCCAAATTCTTCTTCATACTTAATTAGATTATCTCTGAAACCGATTATTGTGCTGAGCTCTACGGAATCTCCCCTGTTAGCTTTAAACCATAAATCGTTTCATTTGTTTGATTGGCACTTATTCTAAATCATATCTCTTTCCTATATCACTCTCGCATGTAGCTCCAATCTAGGATCACGAACCTATTCCAATGGTAATGCATGTATTTTATACGGAGTATTTGCAATAGGTGCATAATCGAGTACACTTAGCATATACCACTATATATACATATATCCATCACGTAATAATGTATTATTCTATACGTATTTACACGCATAATCCATTACAGTCTTGCAAAAACCTTTAGGAATCCTGGGAACAAAGACGACAGAGGAAGCTGAACTATTTCCTTCGTCATTGGCCGACACAATTTGGAACCTGTAGGATTTGTTAAGCCACAACCCGCTGAATTTGGCGTACGACCTGTTTGTTTCCTTTGGCTGAATGTCCCTGCAAAAACCAAATAAGTAATTAAATTGTGAGGGTATGGATTTGAAAAAGATAAACATTGTGACATGAAAGACTCTGAACAAAGTGGAAGAAGAAACTGCTATCACATATAAATACATAAAATAAACTATGGAACTAACTCTTTCTTCTCTTCGTCTTCTTGCACACTGTGGATGTAGTGAAACCCAGGTCCATTGCGAAATAGCGGATCCACATCTTCCCAGTACACTAAAATATCGCGTTTTTTATCGTTCATAGGAACAGACTCGTAACTCCCCACGTCCACTTTGGGAGGAGCTGTGGGACCTTTTTTATTAAACACAAATAAAGCAGAAAATTAAACCAAAATAAACCATTTTTATTACAAGTACTCTTAAATCAGAAAGAATCTCACTCTTGGCCGACGAGGCGACCACAATCATCCCCGGTTTTGACCAGAAGCTCGCTTCATCTCTCGCTCTTTGTGACCTCATTTTAATTTCTATCGTGTAATTGACGTAAGCGTAATCGAGGGAGATGTTGTGCTCCAAATGACCTGAACCTTTATAACTGTTTAATTTCTGCAAGTGTGCAAATAAATAATGCATGAGATGACTGGAAGTTGACACGACAGTAAATAAATAATGTGCATAGGACAGTCACTCACTGTAACGTTGCAAGCGACTGAAGCGTTCTGTATACAGACCGTGACTTGGTGGACTAGACCGGGAACGAAATCCTTAAAACTTTTAAACGCCCACCACACAGTGGCCACATCCGGCAAGGAGTGAACAATCTTAAGGTCGGAGGGTGCTTCGGGAACGACTTAAAAAAAATAATTAAAATATACATTTAAAATAGGCATATAAGTAAACTTTTATTTGAGACGGATGGCATTTCATAATCTATTAAATGCTTTGCAAATATAAAAATATGTACCTATCGACCAGTGCTCGATGGAAAAGTTCCAAGTTGATCCCTTCGGATTGAGCACGTTTGTTCCATTGATTCGAAAGTGGAGGGGGTTTTGGTTCTGTCTGTAAAATGGTTCTGTCCTTGGACCCCATACACAAGAGGTCGGCGTGGCGGTCGCATTTGGACAAGAAACGATGGAGTTGAAGGACCTACACGAGTTAACCAATCAGCCAATCAAACATTGTTGCTAATCAGTTTCCTCATTGTTATTGTTACGTGCAATCAAAACAATTCTATTGAACCGAACAAGAAGAATGAAAATGACTTGGGGGAAAAATCTATTTGCGGAATTAAACAACAACATCCTGTCATTTGTGAGTGAAAGTCAAGTAATAACAAACATCATCATCATTACCATCGCCATCGCATCTCACTCAACCTCGCAACGCAACGAGATTTAGAGATGCAACAACTCTGATGAAGATGAAAGGTACATATACGTAAGACCTTGAGAAGGACAATGAGAGACAAAAAGTTGAACGAGGTACATAGTTTTCCGTCAAAGCTGTCTGATTGATCAAGTGGATAAAATAAAGCAGAAAACTTATTTAATCTCCTTCTTTCACCATCACCACTTTCATCTCTACTACAAACACAATACGGATAGCAAGTCCTGATACTTTTTTGCCCTATACTTTGCACAAATATAGACTTTTTCAAGTATGCTTAGGTATTTAGGAATCATCTTCTTGATCACGGATGATGAATTATGATCAAGGGAATGCTTTGAATCTGGGAGAAAAGGAAATTCTACTTACTTTCCCTTCTGCAGAATCTGCAATGAATAACTGGTCGGGATTGGATTGTAGGGCTTCTTCCACGTACAATTGAGACTTCGCCAGTCTTGGGCAATACAACTAAAGTTCTCCACAGGTAAGGGTGGATCTGAAGGGACAAAAGCAATAACACGATAATTATGAACTATTTGTTTGACAACATCTCAAAACTGATTGCATTTCAAGTACGTCTGTCAACACATTGTGTAAATGGGTCTAGAATTTCAGAATTTCATTTCATACTGAGTTTGAGATTCGAACAAATATGTAATGAGATTAATTTAATTTGATCAAACAAAGAATGATAATAATAATCCCAGGAAATTAATCGAATTATAACGTTTTCCTGTGCTCCGTTTAATTAATTAGTATTATTTTAAGTACTTCGTGCGTCATTGCACAAAGAGTAAATAACTCAACACAATTAAAACGAAGTACACATAAATGACGAAATAACTCAGTCTCAAGTGCAGCAAATACTTAGTTAAAACGAGAGAAAAACATGAGAACTTACATCCGACATCAATCTCATTTTGGCAAACTTGTATCCTTCGACTGCCCGGAGGGACAATTTCGCAGGATAAGTGAGGACTAGAAACGTTCATTCGTTCCACGCGAAGCAACGCCGTCGTCTCGTTGATCACCGTCGTCTTCATCAATCCCTCCGAGATGTTGGTTTTGGTGAAGCGAAACTGGATGAAGCTAGCGTTGTACGGTTTTGCCTTTGCCATGTCCAAACGGCAATAGACTTCCAGCGTGTCCCCCTCCTTGAGAAGAATGTCTCCTCGGGGAAAGGTTGCTGTGGGTACGTGGACATTATGCAATTAAGTTGTTTACCACTTCTTCACCATTATGAGCTCTGCATGACGATGTTTATAAATAATTCCATCCATCCGCTCCACTTTCCCTCCCACTTTCTCATTTTATAATTTCCGAAAATAATCTGTGTATCTCCTCTCCAGATAAAAAACGAGGGCATCATTCAAATCTCATTTGACATACGTAATTACTTAACACAAACTTTTCATATACCTTGTACAGAACGGAATACATAATGATTCTCATTATGAAAGTTTAATCGTATTCATTATTCCCAGCACAACAAGTGCAACTCTTTTATCAGAGTTTGAATTTGATTACGAAACATTGAACCTAACGTAACCAAATCTAGTTTTCTCGAGTTATGTAGCAACTTTAATTTCAACAAGTGTTTTATAAACAGACTGATAGCTTGGAGGTGTTATCCTTCGTTACGGTGAAAGCACTGTGTAGCTAAGACTAAAATAGCATGGCATCACTCTCATGTCCCACCCACCACTTATCCGGACATGATACCCTAAAAGTACTCTGGCTGTGAGAGTCGTATCAACGTCGTCGTCGTCAAGCTCACGACTCTTCTCGTCCTTTCGCAAGTCTCTCCTTTCAGATTTCTCTACCTGACGTTTCCACGAGAGAAAAGGAATTTGACGAGCGGACGTGTTTCCTCTCGCAAAGACGAAAGAATGTGGATTGTTAGTGTCCAAGTAGAAGACATTTGAATCCATTCAACAAATGGTTGAATGATGTCTTGATTGAAAATGCTTGCTCAGAGTCGACAAAAAACGAGGTGAAGCAGACTTTGAAATGAGAAGAACAACTTTTGCCCTTTGCACTCTCAAATAAAATGCGTCATACCGACGATTCTATAACGGATAACAAGTTTGGTTTTGGAAAAGAAAGTTAGCTAGTTAGAAGTTGGGGGGCTTCTTCATGGCCTACATTTGTAGATCCTGTGCATACAACTACCGCGATCAGAGACCAAAAAGCTGCTAAATATTTCGGAGAAAGTCGTCTACACTAGCCAGTCCTAGAAACCAAGTATTGAGGATAAGCATATTATGTAGTCTCAACAACATCATAGTTGGTTAAATTGACAAATGGTGACTCTCAGCAACTGGTGATACACACATGTACATACATTTTCTGCCTCTCTTGTCACAATTACGGGAGAAAGTGTAGTCAAAATAAGTTTGGATGAAAGAGTGAAAATTGCCGAGAAATGGGAAAAAGTGGATGGATTATATAAACTCAGTTGCACACCTCGGGTACACGAAATTCCCATTGTTTACTTAAGTGAAAGCAGCGTATCACCGAATAGCACGCCTCTCAAGAAGCAAAAGTTTGGTAATGAGGCTTGCAAATCGGGACAGTTTTTGGACACCAGGTGAAAACGAAGTTTATAGATATGTGTCTGTATAATGCATAAATTACTTACCACCACGAAAGCCGCTGACACCCTTTTGGCACACCAAATCCACATCATCCTCCCCCCACGCAGGGGACACGAAGATGACAAGAAATAGGAGAAGGAGTGACAAGTATAAGATTTTAATCCCCCCTTTTTTGAATCCATGGGAGGAAGTGTAGAGAAGATCATCACGGTTATCCCTCATTCTGATAATTGTACTGGTTCTGGTCACGCCGAGGTGCGGACAACGACGCGATTCTTATCTCACATTCTTACTTTTGACGTCTTCTTGTCGATCACAACAACAGAAAGGAAGAGAAAGTCAACAAGTGACTTGAGAGGACGATTCTCATTTTCCTACTGCAGTACAATATGCTTCTGACAGACGCTCCGAGTGACTCCTCGTCTCCTAACGTGTGTATTTATTTCACACCGGTGGTAATATTTTTCTACCGAAAAAAATGTATCAAAGCGTACTTCCGTCACCAAAAAAGATGACAACTTTTCTCAAGTTAAGTCAATGTGTGTGGTGGTTGATTGATTTTTCTCACGATCACTATCCGCTCGGTGACGATAATTACTGAAAAGTCACTTCCGGTCGCCTAAACGTATGTAATGTCCTTAGTTCCAATAAGGTAAGCTTGATTGAGTCGATTCGACAAGCGGTCTCTTTACTACGTAACCAAAAGTACGTGGAGAGTGGAGAAAGTGAGCGGACGTGTTGCGACGTGAAGAGTTCGGAGCCAAGTGCGGAGTTCGACTTCCAATTCTGTCGTCTTGACTTCTTATTTGTAAACCCCGTGCTTCCACTTCTGTTATCGAAACACGGCTTCTGCTGCTCCCGACTCCTTCTTCTCCTCCTCCTCCTTCGAGGCGTCTGCAAGCTCCACCACCATCCACAGAAGCTGCTCCAGGGTGGTGGGCGATAAGGCCAACTGGGAGAAAATGTGCAATTGCAAAGAGATGTCCGAGAGAGATGGTATGGGTTAGGTTACGCTAACATCAGCAGAAGCAGCAACAGGCACCATGCATAATATTTATCTATTATGCATACCACTGCTCGTATAACGTCCACCTCCGTCGTCGATGTGAGATACTGCTGTGTCAGACTACTTTCGAATCATGTAATCATCACGGATTGGATTGGATGGGTCGTCGCCGTTGCACTTTTTTGCGCTCTTGTCCTCCTCTTTATATATTCTTTTTGAGATGGTCCGGTCCGATGCTGTTGATGTGATGTGGCGAAGGAGAAAAATCTCTCTGGAATTAAATTTAAAAAACTCGAGTCATTCATCTTAATTCTTTAATGCACACTTATGACAGGGCTTCTTATTCTTTCTTTGTGTGTTTTTCAATCTGGCAAAGAACCCATTCCGAGAATTTATTAATGTAGGAAGCAATCAAGAATTGTATCGTGCGGAGATTCTTTCTTACTCGTATCCCTCCTCGTGTCCCTCCTCCCTCATGAGTGAGCAAGGAAGCTTTTGACACTTACCAGCTTCTCTATTTATTTATTAGTGATAATGAAAATGAGGAGCAACCATGGCACTCTGGACTTGCATATTACATACTCGTTACTATTAGTCAGGGGTGGGCAAGATACTTTGTCAAGGTAAGATCAAAGAAGTATGTATTTTGTATCTGGTAGGCAAACGAATAGTATCTTGTGCATGTAGGTACCTTATCTACGTACCATGCCTGACAGAAAAGTATTTTAAGATACTTTTTCACATATCCGATAAATCAAATCCATTTCTTACTACTGTCAGTCAGGCAATTTGATCATCATTTTGTCTTATGCGGAGTTTGTTAAAGTTTTACTTTATGCCCATTAGGAACACAAATGGTAAATATATGCATACATACGTATGTACATATATACATGTGTATAATATTATGTTATAAATATTGTATATATTTCTTATGATGCTTGTTTCTCACGACGAAAGTATCTTGCCCATCTCTGCTGTTAGTACGAGTCGTTATTTGATGCAAAAAATTGATGAGATGGTTGATGCAGAGAGAAAAACCGGCTGTCAGTAGCATAGGAAATGCATTTATGTATGTACATACGTGGTGATTTTCTTCAACTGTCCAATGTAAATACTCGAAAAACCATAGGTTTCAAACTTTTAAGTACTTTCTTATCTTTCTTTATATTGATAACAAGATTTTTCAAACCCGCATGTGGCAGTCGCTCAAAATTTATGACATGTTTATTTTACTTTGTCAACTTTGAAAAATCCCATTTGTCCTGAATTCAGTTCCCAAGAATAATTAAATTATATCTTTATGACATCCAACATCTTATATTTCCATTCAGGTTGGAGAACGTGAGTGAGATGAAATGGCCTGATTCCGAAATTACTGCATTTTCTCTCATTTCGATTCTTTGAACCAATTCAATAATTTATCATTTTCAATAATAAAACGTTCAAATAACCGCAATTTAATAAATCAATGGTGTATTACATGATATAATGTCCTCAATTCACTTGAATCTAATCAGGATTTCGACAATATTCTCGAGGTCATCGAATAAGCTTTAATTCCATGAATTACTACACTACATTACTTGCTGCTTTAGTACTATTTACTAAAATTTAGGAGATGGGCAGAGATTAACAGAATTTCTCGAACTGCTACTACGAAGTAGTTACACGCAGCGACATCATGAATGAACAACCACATTATCCATCATGCAAATACGTACAAAGATATCCTGTGACGAACCCGTTGTGTTTTCACTGCATTTCTTGGAAGGACATTCGCTTACGAGGAACTTGCGAACGAGGGGCTTCAACAGCAACAAATAAACTTAATTTTAAACAAACAGTCTCACTCCGAGAAATATTTCGTCGTAAATGAGAGTTTCCAATAATTCTCAACGGGCAGAAACTTAAACTATGTATTTATTACACTGTGCCATCAATCGTACGTTCAACCACCCGGAGAGGAGTGAATTCAACAACCTGTAATAAATATATGTACGTACACTTCCTAAACCAGAGTCATTAATGACTACACAATTATTAAATAAATAAATAAACATTACCAGCTTAAAGCAAATATGTTGAACAATGAAACGAGGAAAATAACAATAACAAAACGTGAAGGATTTAGAGACACGATTTGCTGCATTGTAAAATGATAATAAAAATAATAATAAGACGCAACTAAAGTTGACAATCGATAAAAAAAGCCATCATTCCATTCATTCACCTGGACGGAGATTAAAGCCACATTTTTTTCACAAGCCTTTGGCGATGAGCAATAAATCGTGGAGAATCTGAGTCTAACTCAAAGGACGACGAATTCTTTCGTGCTCAGCAATATTAGATTTTTCGGCTGTAAGGCAAAGGATTAAAAATATCCGAGGAGGAGGGAATCCTTAGAAATTATTTCCTTGGTTGTAATCAATCCGAGAATTATCCAAATTTTACGAGTATATGGAAAGATGTGCTATATCTGTATGTATGTACACATGATATGCATGTGAGACTAACGAGTTTTCAATCCAATTTGTCGTGCAGGTAGATTTGCTGTACTAATAATACTTTTTCCATCACGACCACATTATTCTTATCCACCTTTAATACACTGATAATCATCACCGACTTTCTATTCAATTCAGATTTTTCAAAGGTTTTCATTCCATAAAAAAGGCTGATGCTGACATCGAGCCTAATGATAGCGAGCGAGTATATCTGAACTGAAGTCGTCGTCCATCCACTCTTTTCATAATTATGACGTTGTTACATTTTAGAAAAGTTCAGAATATTTTTAGAAGAGAAGAAAAGTGGTGACTATTGCGTAATAAAGGCTCAAGTCTGTTGGAGAAAGCATATGTGCTCATTTGTTTGCCGAGGTACAAAAAACTTTATCTTCTTGCAGCAGAGTTAGAAGCGTTAATATTATGTATGCCCAGAGTGTAATTTAATTTAGCGTCATTAGCTCTGAAAATACATCCCCACATGGAAAACTGCATTTATTTCTTCACAATAAAAGCTAACATTGTCACAGAGAAGAATTCCAGCCATAAGCTGTTCATATTTAGTTACACATCCACTTGCACTGCCCACACAATAAAAATAAGTGCATTCATCGCAAAATAATAATGACCTGTATTACGACCGTAAGGGTGTTATTAGCAATCGGGCAGATTGTATTTCACCAAGAGGTTCAAATAATAGAACGGAACATGGAGAATACGAGATTCGTCTCGTCAAATGCCAACTTTAGAACTTATTGTTAGTCAAACGTTGTCAGGTTAGGTTTCTACGCCTTTTTGACTTTACGGAATGTGCTGAATGGAACGACTATAGTTTGATAAAACGAATAAGACGAGTTCACATGCCCTTTTGCTTATTTAGTTCAACCTGCAAATACAACGTTCTCATTAACAAATTTTCCTCATCAACCCTTTCTAACAATGTATACAAATATGCTACTCTTATTTACTTAGGAGAATAAAAAAGCTGACTCTTGCCAATTTACGAATGTAGGAATGTCCCGATTTGACAACTGTGTGTCCCGACCCTAGGGCTTCTCAACATCAAACGCGACTGTCACAAAGTCTTATTACACACAAAGCGTACCTATGAATGTACGTACGTTTGTTTGTTTGTAATCTCTCAATTTCCTTTCCAGGGACCTTCACAAAACTAATCCCCAGTCAGACGGAAGCCATATGTATGCACTAATATATATTTATTTATTAGAGTACGATAGTTTCTGGATCAACTGATTTCAAACAATATTACTAATTCTCTGTGTCAAACCAGGCATGGGTTTCATATATTATGCTCCACTAAGCGGCGACAATACGACAGTTTCCTCGTAGTAGTGAAGAGATAAAAGTTGTTTTGCCTGGAATACCTTTCTCGTTCACTAAATACAATCGGAGAATAGGAGAAAATGTACTGCGCATAAAATATTTTGTGTGTATGCAGTATGTGACAAGAATTAATGAAACGTGAGACAATACTGCTCCAAAATGTAACAGGATCTTGTCAAGAGTAGAATTTGTCAACATCGTCATCATAACCATCATCCTTAGTTAGATTTCAGACTCGAGCACATTTTAATATTTACTCAGAGTGAAATTGTAAACCTAGGAGGAAAGAAGGAGGGGCTGCTGCTTGGTAGATGTATTAGCTTTTGATTGCATAAAACAAGAGCTACACAAGAGCACAGATTCATCCCTGCTACTTTGCAAAGTTCAATTATATGTACGACCCTCTCAGCATTTTCTATAAGCACGTTTACTCTTCACTACGTCTTATACACCACTTGTGTCGAGTGATGGATGGATGTGAATTAGCCACCTATGACGAAGATTAAAGGTTGATCTTATTTATACTGAAATTTCAGGCGTCGTGATCCCGCTCTGTTGAACCTTAATAGAGCGGATTGCATTGTTTAAATGCGTGACATTGTAGCATTGAAAAGCAGTGCGATTTATTCAACCAACTTTTTCCAGTCACAATAGAACAATCCGAATTGAGTGCCATCATTCACTTGATTATTTAGGTGGGTGGTGGTGGATGAAGAAATAGAACCATATATCACACACACTACTTTCAACTTTCATGCATTCCCATCCACTTCAAATAGGCTTACCTACGGCACAAAGGAAATTATTCCATAGTTGGTCACGTAACTAACCATTTGTGTGATTGGCATAGTAAAAAAAATCAGAGAAAAAACCAAATGTTATGTTTGGTATCCAGATGTGGGCTGGAATTGAAATAATTGTACCCACAAAAAAATTGATGCTGCTGCTGCTGCTGTCGGTATAAATAAATGTGGAACAATTGACATCACATGATTGATACCTCTATCATATTTGTGTCGATCTCCATATTGTGCATCTTATAGCCAGCCGGCCGTTGCTGCTGTCGAAAAGCAGAAAAGTCATGGCGTACGATCCTTATCCAGAACCAAACTTGAAAGTGAAATGATATTAAAAATGATTGACAACGATAGAAATTCGTCGCAAGACACGCCAACGCCAGGGTAATGTCTCTATATTATTAGTTTTCATGTCATGGCACGTCCCACATCAGTAAATTCACTTTGTACGCATTTGTGATACCATTCAGTAGAAAATGATCAGCGATAGAGAACTCCTTAAAGAAAAATGAGCTTCATATCCTTTGAGAAATTAGGAGATAATTGCCAATTGGCAAATTCACTCTGACACGAAGAACAAATAGGCGGAAATTTCTCCAGAATAAATGAAAATATGTATGAAAATA